ATTTTTTGATATTTCTCTTTTCATACTAATGAAGTCGTTTGACAAAGACGTGCAGTGCATGTATTGTTCCTTAGTCGAATCAAAACTAGATTATTAGCCTGTTCAACCAAACTTTTGAAAAGTCAGTTAGTCTTGATTAATGACTAATATTGTTGAAAATTCTTGTATAATCCGTCAAATTAACTCTAAAAACATGTCGCAATCACCAAGGTTTTACGTTTGTCTTTACCCATTTTCAGCAAATAATATAACAGCGTACAATTTAGCAAATCAGACTTGGTTTTCTGTTATTTTGACTTTGCTCTTTATTCAGAAATCAAATTCATGGTGATAGAGCATAATCAGACTATAGTTCAGAAGGAAGTAACACAGTAATTTGATTCCATTTGCACGTAACTAAGTTACCAGCTAGAGGCTCAGCAAGTTAACAAACTCACAGTTCCAACTTCCAAGAAAAATCTCAAAACTACTCTCAGACAACTACCTTCATTCTAACGGCAATTTCCATTTCAAAATCACATTTTTCTCATAGTTAAGTTTCTGCTCAAAAAGAAAGTAATAAAGGATCAAGTCTAGGAGTCATTGCAGCCTAACGAGTTCAAGAAAAATCTTTATCTAATCAATCCAACAGTAGAAAGATGCGAATTAGCAACTGAAAGAAGCAATCTGAACACAAATCAGGCGTATTGGAAGACCAAATGTAGATCCAAAACCAGTGCATTTAACCTGGGAAAGTTTTTAGCAACAAGCTATCAAATAAAGAGAGAATTTATCAGTACCCTACAGAAGAAGGCTACCTTTAACCATGGATGATGGAAAACTTCAGATTAAGGTAAAAAGGTCCTCAACACCAGACAATTTTCGTATAAGAATTACCTTACCCAACAGAGCAAGTGAAGATGGGTCGACAAAGAAAGGGATATAAGAGCTCCATTGAGATAGAAGGGGTTTTCAAGCAATAAAAGCTAATATGTACTTTTGTACCAAAATTTACTTCAAGACTGCAGGGTCTTTTGATCAAAATGCTAGAAACACTTCCAAGTAAGTCACCAATTATTTGCAGTCTTTGACGTTCCAAACCAGGTGGGAATGGAAATAGATGCAGAACAGGTCCTTGAGGTTCCCAAACCAAACTTAAATCAGTTCACGCTTTGGCACTATAAAAACTGAGTTATCAAATAAAAAAGCAATAGGAAAATAGAAACCAAGCAGAATCACACCACGCATATACCTTTTTTAAAACAAGAAACAAACTATCCCACATTGCCTTCATCTTCATTCTGTACTCCCTCTCTAAACACAAGTCTTGATACCTACTATTTCTTTAACACAACTAGAGAAGAGTAAAAAATAAAGGGTTACGAACTAGTATAACATTGAAACAAATATACTACTCCTATAATTAACCCACTACCAAGAAAAAGCTAGAAAAAAACATGAACAGACCAAGCTTGTAGAACCAGTGAAACATAATACAGACAATATACGGCAATCAGACTTTATATAGAACTGGAAACCTAAACCTATACTCCAAATCAACCAACTCTTAAATTGATAATCAACCAAGTTTTGATCACCAAACAATCATTCACGTCCACATCATGCACAAGAAAAAGCACAGAAACAGTTTTCATTGGCAATTCAACAATTCCAGTCCAAACTAACTCAATCTCACAATTGATCTCATTGAAGTATGTGAACCACCTCATCTAAAGATTAAGTTACTAGTAGAAAGAAGACACTTTAGATATTCATTTTAAATTTGCAATACACCTACTCAAGTGCAGGCATAATTGGTTACTTGGACCAAGCACATGCAAACATTTTTGTGGCAGTGAGACTTGAAACCAAAAACAATCACTATGCAGAATATGAAAAACAGCACCAGTTTATTTCCCAACATAGAATCCAACAAGAGACAAAAGGCCTCAGTCTTTAACAACCCGCATCTGGAAAGTGTCAACAAAACCAATTTCAACGGTTAAATAATACTAATTACACTACCAACTCATTTTTGGCTATACTCAACCATATCCCAATGAAAAAGAAAAGCCTAAATCGACATTGAAATTCAACAAATAGTACCATTCCCTCTTGGACTGGTATTGACCATCAAATCATCATTAATGGCAATGCAGCTACCACTTTAAATCCGAAAAAACACACTGTTTACCTCTAGCACAACAATAACAACAACAGTACGAGCTTTGCTCACATTGCCATTCCCAAGCCTGCGGTAGACTGACAGCCAGGTTAAAACTAGTTTACCTCTAGCACATAACAAGGAAATTCAACTACATCAAAGAAGTAAAATCCGCAATTGTTTCACAAATTCAACTCTCCACATTTCTAACGAATTCACCAAAACCAATTCCATCAATTTAACAATACTAGTTACATTACCCAACTCAAGTTTTCCCCTAAAATTGAAACAATATTGAATCATGAAAGTTCAAACAATAGTATAATCCCCTCTGGGACTTTCTGACAGCAAAGCACCATAAGGTGAATCTTCCTGATCTTCCGGAGCCCGAAGTGCACCATGAACACACAGAATCACAATCCCAAAGCCAATTGAAACGACAACATTCGTCCAAATCTTAAAAACCAGAAGCGCAACGACAGTCACCAAACTCAGAAACCCTAACACGAACCTATCATCAACATCGAAGCCAAAAAGATCCAACGGCTCATTACGGGAGAAGTAGAGGTAAATCCAACCGGCGAATATGGTTAGGAACAACACGAGTGAAATTGGACGGAGAATTAGGGTGATTAATAGGATAAAGAGGATGATTAGCACGTAATTACCGGCGAAATAACGGAGGTTTTTGTTGATCCGATATGTTGCGTCGGAGAAGGAGATTGGGAGGCTGAGGGCAGCGGTATCGATGAATAACGGCCACGGTCGAACGGTGACGGCGGCAATTGGTCCAGCGTCCGGCGGAGGAGAAGACATCGGGAAGTTTGATCTTCTTTTTTTCCGGGTCGGAAAATTCGAAGCTGATTCGGTAAATGAGGAATATAAGGTGAAGTAATTGGGTTTATAGGTGGAACCGTGGAAGTGGGGAACCAAGATTTATAGTTTTTCTACTGCCTTTCAGTTGTACCCCAAATATATTGCTAAATATCGATTTGACCCAAACATTCATTTGCTTCATACCCATTGTGCTCCTATATAGTTTGACGGGTATTTGAGTCAGTTTGCATGCATCTCGACTAATTTCGTGGGTTACTTATTTTACGGTATACTTACTACCTTCCAGGCAGGGGCGGAACTACAGTAGTGGGTGCGGGTTCGAGCGAACCCAGTGACTTTTTTTGGAACCCTATATTTGTATTAAAATATTTACTAAATCTATATAAATATATACTGCCGAACCTAGTAACAAAAGGGGTCTTGGTTCAACGGTAAGGGCTATGGGTTTGTTGGAAAAGATGGGAGTTCGATTCTCACTGAAAACAATATTTTATTTTAAAATTTAGAACCCAGACACTTCAAATCTTAGCTCCGCCTCTGCTTCCAGGGTTACTTATTTCACGGTATACTTACTATCTTCCACTAGCAAATGTACTGAGTAATTCTTGCCTATCATTTTTGCCTTCATTGGAATTCAAACCCGAGAGCTCGTAATTCTCGACCCACTTTTGATCAGTATGCCATATGCTTGAGGTTAATGTGTTCGCTACTATAGTGTACTCTACGAGGGTAATAAAATACATTTGTTAAAGGATTACATTTCTCATGAAACTATTTTGATTAAATCATTTGTTTCTAAAGTGTATGCTCTATCATTTTGCAAGACTTCATCATATATGTCTACTAAGTTTAATTTTAGAACAGTTACCACAATTTTGAAAGCCTTCTTGTTCTTGTAAAACGAAATCAAAGTACTTTATCCACTCATTTGCTATCTTTCAACTCTTTAACATGACGTTGAACAACTTGGTTAGTCATACAATAACAGGTGTATTAGTTCAGTTAGGGAACGTTTGGTTGGGAAGCAAGTTATTAATTATGCCGCGATTAGTTATTCAGGGATTGTTATCCCACTCTCGCATAGGAATAAAAATAACACTAAATATACCATAATTTTATTCCAACCAAACGAAGGATAAACTCATCTCAAATTTAATCTAGAAATTAATTATCCCTTATCCCTCATACCAAACGAACCCTTAGGAGATGAGACTACTAATTGCCAAATGTCAATCACTAAGCTGCAAATAATAGGTATATTTGTAGCTTGAATTGACTAAGTGCAGAATTAATGGCATGCTCTCTTAAGAAAAGGATGGATAAGTAAATTAATGAACTAATCTCCAATTATTTGAACCAGAACATGGTGAAGTGACAAAGATAGAACCTGCAAAGTTGAATATCTATAGGCACAACCATGGGCGGATCTAGAATTTTTATAATATGGGTGTACCACTAAATAAAGGAGAAAAAATAAAGTATACTATGTGAATTGATCTCTTTAAAGCATGAGTGTCAGCAGATAATATTATATCAATTCTAAAAAATATGTACATAAAATATCTAATTAGACGGAAAGACTATGGGTTCACGTACCCCATAAAATGGGCTATAAATCCGCCCCTGGGCACAACGCGAATTAAGAAGAGTTTTCTTAAGCTAAAAGAAGCATAACTTGGGAGCCTGAATGCAATCTTTTGAATCAATCAGTTATTAGTCTCAACTCCCAAGTATATGCCATAACATTATCTAGCTTTCTGCAGTTTTATAACAACAACAACCCAGTATAATCCCACTAGTGGGGTCTGGGGAGGGTAATATGTACGCAGACCTTACCCCTACCCTGGGATAGAGAGGCTGTTTCCGATAGACCCTCGGTTCCCTCCCTCCAAGAACTATCCACCTTGCTCTTGGGGTGACTCGAACTCACAACGTCTTGGTTGGAAGTGGAGGGTGCTCACCACTAGAGCAACCCACTCTTGCAGTTTCATAATCATGCCCTATAATTTGATCAATATAGTAGTCTGAACTACTAAAGAATATAAGGAGAAAAACAAACCAAAAATACAAAGAGATAGAGAGTGACAGAGGCACTGTACAGTGTGCAAAATGTCAACAGCAGCGACGCTAAACAAAAAAAAAAAGAAAACATATACAATATGTGCTCAGGATTCTCCAAACATTTTCTCCTGGATGATTTGCCCAAGTTTCGAGTACAGATCTCGCTGCTCCTCAAAGCTCAGGTTCATTATTATCTGTATCATATAGAGTTCTAAGTATATCAGCTCAAACAGAAATACTTCTACAAGAAATTTACCGGACTTCATGTAACTTGAGCCACGTACCTGATCCAAGACCATCTCAATTGACAAATTCTGAGGCGCCACAAAAGACTGATGATAGATATATGCGAAAACAGCCATCACCATCTGCATGATCATACACATAAGAAGACACTCACTAACTCGATAATTCAGATCGCAACAAGAAAGCACTACTAACAGGCCAGAGTAGGAGGAGAAGTGAAGGAGAAATCTATCGGTCTATGGAAATTCTAATCGTACTAACAAGGTATAGAGAGCCATATTTCATTTAGCTCACCTGACAATCCATTCTATCTGTGATGCCACCATGTCCAGGTATACTATCACCAAAATCCTACAGCACAGAGAGAGAGAGAGGGAGATTAGATGACTGCAACATATTAGTAACGATCCCACGAGGGTAACTAAAAACAAGACGAAGTAATAACTTTGAACCTTAATCTTGAAGGCTCTCTTAAAGCCGCTAGCGAAAAAGCCTCCAAAAGGCGCTATGATTGATGCAAACAAGCCAAGCCACAAGGCATGCCATTGCACAGGCAAAACAGAGATCTCTCTCCAAGGGAACTGCAATAGTAAGAATTAGTGAAGTTGTTATGTCAATGATGGATTAACTAAAAAAGGATTTAAATTGACTTCAGAAAGGTTAATAATAACACAAGCATAACGAAGAAGAGGCAAATAACTTGAAATCAACTTTTTTTCAAAAGGATGAATCACCGGATAATCTCATGTTGAGTGTTAGGACAATCGAAATGAACCACTTGCAGTTTTATCTCATGAACCGCATTATTCAACGCTCAATATTTTAAGAAATTTTAAATCATTATGGTTGACATAAAACTAATCTACAGACTAAAGGCAGTTTCACAAATATTATACTTAAAGTTCATATATAATGTTAGTTATCACACACAACATCAAATTAACTTACGCTAAACGATAACTTGTACCCACTTTTATATTCAAAGCATGTCCAAAAAATTTGACCACCAGTGAGGACGTTCGTTGTGGTCAAAATCATCTAAACAAGTTTTTGCTTCTAAAAATATGACACAAGTATAATACTCATATACCTCAAAGGATTTTTTAAGTAACAATGTCACATGATTAACAATGTGCACACCACCAACCTTGTTTCAAGCCCCAAACTGATAAAATTTTAGATCGCAACCTCTTCTGGTTTTTCTGTTAGCCTCTTATTTTATCTTCTTCTTTTTTTACATTGTTACCGGCTTTCTAGATTGTTAGGAAATGATTAGAAGTTTCATGTCGCCAAAATAATTAGCCATCTGCTACACTCTATCAAAGAAATGAACTATCTGCAAAGCACCACTCACATTTTTCTCCTTTCCCTTTTTTTTTGGGGGGCAGGAATGCACCAACCACAATTAATTAAAGCTAGTTCGCCTCCAAGAAATCCACAATCAATTACTGGCATTCAGTTTGATATTCCTGTGTTCGATTCTATGATTTGCCAATGGTAGTAGTTTTATGGTCTTCCGGACATTTAATTTAATTTTCATACCCTTCCAGATGGAGTAGCAGTTAAAAAGTAAAACCATTAGATCCATTTTTATAATAAAAGAATCACACTTTTCAGGTTGCCAAAGGAATGGCCTAATGGTTGAGGCATGGGAGTAACAACATGAAGATACAAGGTTTTACCAAAGTCACTAGAATAGTAAATATGCAAGTAGTAACAAAGCAACCAAAAAAAAACTTGAAATGTCGAAGTTTTGACGGAATTTCACTTACCCATGCAGGAAACCACTCAGGTACAGTAAAATAATCTGGTTTAAACAGTAGACCAGGATCACAATCAAGCCACCCAGCTGATAAATCCTGCATTAAACAATTTGGAATTTTAAGGTTTCCAAAACAGAGGAGCAAATCTCTCAAGCCAATTGGGAGAGACGTTACCCTAAAACATTACCTTCCTAGGGCATGTTAGCCACCTGAAGCGACCAAATATATTGGCAAGCTGCAAATTAGCACATAACAGAAAGTAATTAGCAAATTATTGCAAAAGGCATACACCCTTCTCAAATCATTGTTTTGAAGACAAATCTTTAGTAGGTGCGGGAAAAACACGAGAAGGGGAGAGAGTACATAGATAATTTGATGACAACACAATACAAGACATACAATCCATATGTTATATTTATGAGAGACTAACTAAACACTAACACGTAACACTATTGCTAATATTGTAACTCATTCACACTAACACGACCCCTGAAGTCAAGGTGAGAAATCCAACTTGAGTTAGCTTATTCTAAACATAAAAAGCAAATAGCTGTCTGAATGGTTGCGGGAAAACTTGCCCGAAAATTCTCAAAAATGTTCTAATCACAAGAATTTCACAGGGAAGTTAGGTCATAAAAATCTCTGTGGAAAAGTTGTTGCCATAACAATAGCCGAAGGGGCAATATAGAGGCTGTCTCGCCAGAACTGTTACTGAAAAGAGACGCGGTGCCAGAACAATCATAATTAATTAATTCTAACATTACAACAACCATCACTTTACCTTCTAACATTTGTATAGATACATATTTTGCAGAACCTAGAACAAATTTGAGCACAAGAAGTAAGTAGCATATTGTAAAAGATAGCGTTTATCTTAATAAGCTGACATAACAACATGCGAATAGGACCAATGTGCACCGTCATCAATTCATAAATTCCAAACTAGAGACAAGTCCATGAAATTTTTTTTTCCTGAAATACACAACAACTTACCAGAAATGCGGAGATAATGGTTGATACTGATGCCCCAATAAAGCCCTCCCAAGTTTTCTTGGGGGACAACTTGATCAAAGGAGTTCTTCCAAAGAAGAATCCAAAAATATAAGCAGTTATATCATTGATGACAATGAGTGATGCTGGAAGAAGGAACCTGCATTATAATAAACCTTTGTTTGAAGTTCTATATCCATGTCCAATTTTGTTGATCTTGTCAAAATGGCCAAAACATGTGGTATAATGTGGCAGTTCCAAAAACATAAAAGAAGCCCTCTATCTTTCGACTAGACATATGCACGCTGAGGAAAGAAATTAAAACCTGAAGTTGGTCCAAATGATTACTTCCCAAAGAGAACAAAAACAATTNGAAATAACACGTGACCATGTGATACTTGATAAATCTGCTAACAAGCTTGTATAAAAATTTGTCTGATGTAACCGTGTTGACTAGCCTCTGGCTCAGGATGCGTCCGTATACAAACAGCATTGCTGTAAAGAAAAAGTGCCTGGAAAGAATAATATAATAAGCAAAAACAGAAAAGAGAACCTGTAAACACTAAGATACTGCATCAATCTTGTAATATAAATACCCAAGCTTCTCAAACTACATTCTGCAGATATATATCACTAGTGAAGGGACTCAACAGAGGCAACCGTGAGCTCAAGTGATGCAAAGGCAACAGTAGATTTGCTTATCTAGTTTCCATAGCCTGACAGCTTGGAGGTTTCAGTCTGTGTATCACAGGCCAACTAAAATAGTCCCAAGTCCACATATGAACCAGATTAGCTAAACCAATATCAAGTAATTTCGAGAATTCCCTCTTTGTTCAAAATATACCTAACCTAGACCAGATACGAGTTCATTTCCACTTGTACCGGGTCCATCACGTGCAAGTCTGCACTTTGGACCTCACCACAGCTGGAAGCATATAATGTGGGTGACTTACTATTCAAGATAGCCATTCCGCGTGCTTCACCAAAGTTAGGCTTCATGTGCTTCACCCCTAAGGGGTCGTTTTGTATGATGTATAAGGAAAATAACCATGGTATAACTTTATCCAATGTTTGGTTTATATTTTGAATCATGTATAACTAATCCTTGTATAACTAATACACCAATTGGTTTACTATTTTATACCACCAACAGCATGGAATAACTAATCTATGTATAACTTATACATGGATAAACACCAAAAGGACAAAATTATCCTTGCCTTTTTCCTAGAAGCCAATGAAGGCCAAGCATCCAAGGGTATAATTGTAAACTACAACAACAACAACAACAAACGCAGTGCAATCCCACAAGGGTATAATTGCAAACTCATTGCTATTTTATTCAAATAAATAAATAAATATTTTAAATGATATCTTCTATATCCACTGTTAGTGCAATGAATAGAACACCCGTCAAGAAATAGTCCATGTATTACTAATCCCTACATAACTAATCCATGCACTATAATCCATGTATAACTTCTCTTTGTACCAAATGATCGCAGTATAGGATGAGCTTGGCTCTGAACCTGGCTTTGGACATCCCATACTGACCACTTTGTACTCCGATTAAGATTTTCTTTTTCCAAGTGCTCTCATTGGGAAGCTGCTACTCAATTTTTGAATTTTTTGACCCGTTAAACACGTCTCCCCTCCCCCTCTATTTTGTAATAACCAATGTGGAAAAGAGAATTGGCCTACAGCTATTCATCATCTTCAAGGGTACGGTGTTATGTCATAGATGCCAGACTTCCCGACATTCTGGCTGCATAGTGAAAATCTCCGACAACAACTTAGCAATGTTGTTAATCAACCCAAATTGGAACCTCGAAAATCAATTCCACAACTTCTATTTCAAATCTTGCCGGGCTCCAGTTGTATATCCACCGAACACATATCTTTGCCCATCTTAGATGCAACCGATGTCTAGATGCAGCATCCAACTCCAACATCCACCAGAAGAGTCACCAGTTGCTCTAAAACTTCATCGAACCAAAGATGAAGAGGTAGTTCCTAAGAGTCTAATCCAGGTGTAGTAGGAGTTCATCTCTTCCCCTAATATCCTACAACGGGACGAGGAAATAGCTGTCACAGAAGAGGAGGGCATGGATATTTGACTTTGATGGCACAATTAATCAAAATGGGAACAGAGTAGAGGCAGAACCAGTTCACTGATAGCTTGTGTTCTCCCAAGTGGCATTCACACACCTTAATATTTTCCGCTTTTAGTCTTAACGAAATTCGAACAGAAGAACATTCTGTTCTTATCTGACACTTAAACTCCTACTGAAAAACTTTCATGTCTGTTAGGCTCGTTTCCTAATTTCCGAGCAAGCTGGAATATCTGATGTAACATCACCAAATACTCCATCGGGCACCTTCGAAAGAAGAATTCACTTGTTTTAGAGAATCCTCCTCGACATTTCTCCATCTTTGCCACTTTAGGATAGCTTTCAGATGCAGAGATTTTGTTGGAAGGAAGATCAGCCAGACGTATCCTTCTTCAAGAACTTTTGAACATCCAAATTCAAGAAAGCTGCATTAAGGAAAATTTGGGATGATAGTCACAATTCTCATTTTCCCTTCAGTCGCAACTATTCGAAGGGATCTATCGAACTTATTGAAGCTTTAGAATGAGCAGTACTTCTATAGCTGGTCTTATTTCCTCCACCTTCTGCATAACTCTCCTGTGGCCTCAAGTTCTCAGACTGACTATACTGTATTTCAAATAATTGACAGACTTCGCCAATTGACCTCCCAAACAATCCATATGATTCCTTTCTAGCTCAAGTAAGTTCCATTCTCCATTCTGAAATTTGTGTTTAGTTTCAATTCAATCACCTTTCACACCACTATCTACTAGTTTTAAATTATAGGACGATTAAGTTCACTACTAGAAATCCGGTAAAAACCGACCAAAAAAACCACCAACGTTGGTCGGTAATGGCCAATAACCGACCAAAACGCGACCATTTACGTGTGGATGGTATTTTAGGGGTCGGAAAGGCATACCGACCAAACTTGGTCGGAAATTACCGACCAACTTTGGTCGGTCAATTAAATTCAAAAAAAAAACATTGCAAAAAAAACCGACCAAAGTTGGTCCGTATTTTAATTATGTAATCAAAAGATTTACTATCTGGGAATCGAACCGGAGTTTGTACTGTGGCAGGATACTATTCTACCACTAGACCATTGGTGCATTGTGTTTTAAGACTGTCTTTTATTTGATTTATACTCTTTAATTGTATTTTCGCACGAAATTAACCGACCAAAGTTGGTCGGTTTTATTAAAAAGTAAAATTACCGACCAAAGTTGGTCGGTTTTTTAAAATGACCAGCCGATTGGTCAGTTTTTTTAATATTAATTTTTATTTATTTTAATTGAAAAACCGACCAAAGTTGGTCGGTTTCTTGAAAAATAAATTTCGCGGGACTCAAAAATAGTTTCCCGCACTTTTGCGCCAAAGAAAACCGACCAAAGTTGGTCGGTTTCGTAAAAAAAATTTAAAAACAAATATTTTGTAAAACCGACCAACTTTGGTCGGTTTTTTGGTCGGTTTTTTGACCGACCAAAGTTGGTCGGTCGACCTTGGTCGGTTTTTGCCGAATTTCTAGTAGTGGTTGAAACAGAACCTTTCGCGGCCTTCCCCGAACTTCACATCGACTTCTCAAAAAGTTCACTCTTTCCGTTAATTTAAGTTTCAAATATTCACCAACTAGCTATCATCCTACAATACAACATTGGTTCTCGGCCAACAATACATCTGAAGCACAAATCCATCAATATCTTGAATGGAGTTCTCGAGAAGACGGATAAAATTTGGCAAACTAGAAACAGCAGTATATATCTATAGGGGGAAGAGCCACTCTTAAATAGTGTTCCTGGTGCTCTTCAAACCAGCAGCATGTTCCTCTTTCAAGCATTGGTGTCAATCTTAACGTGTATTCACAAGATGAGAAGAGATATCCTATGGAATAGAGCAAACAGGGCAACTCTCGATGGCCGGGGAAAATGCTATCAGAAACAGGAAGAACGGGGGTCTTGGGATTAAGAACTTGAAGTCCCATAATGAAAGTCTTCTTTTAAAATGGTATTGGAGATTCAAAAAGGATGAGAACGTATGGGGAAGATTATTGGCTGAAAAGCTCACTTTGGGTAATCCTCGGCTCACCAAAGAATCAACCGAACCTCATGGAATTTGGAAGCATATGCATTCTTATGGAGGCAAATTCACTGAAAATTATGGTTTTCTACTTGGCAATGGCAGGAAATTTAGATTTTGAGAGGATGCTTGGTTGAGTCTCTCATCTCTCAAAGCACAGTTTTCATGATATCTATAGTATTTCTTCTCTTCACAACACCATGATAGCTTATTTTTCCACTTCACTAGGATTATCTTTTCTTCCAAAGGAACTTAAGTGATTAGGAAGTTAAAAGGACATGTGATTTGTTAACATTGATCAGCAACTTCGCTCTAGATCAACCGAAATCAGATTCCTTCATTTGAAGAGGACAGACAAACGGTCTTTTTTCTGTGAGATCTTGTTACATACTCTTGATTTCTCACGACAAGAGTGGTACTTTTCCATCACAGAATGACTCGCATAATGCCCCTCTGAAAGTCTCCTGTTTCTCTTGGCCAGCGGCTAGGGAGGCATGCCTCACCCAGAACAACCTCCAAAAGAGGCTTTCAGATTTGCAGTCAATGTCCTTTATATGAAAACCACTCTGAAGATGTTATTCGCCTTTTTCTTCAATGCAAACTCACTTTTCAGTAAAATACATGGCCTTTAGAAGAAGTCCAATGGCAAAAGAAAATTTATCAGGAAAGCAAAATACAAGAATGATATTGCTCACCAATTTAATAGCCTGAAACCAGGAAGTTGCTTGTCTTCATGCGCTTTTCTAAGTAGATTGAACAACTCTTTTGCCATAAAGATTTGTATTACTACTACCATGGCCCAAATATAAAGATGCCCCATGTAAATGATGAAAGCAAAACCACCAATCATCCAGAGCGTTGAATATAGACGGATCAACATTGACCTATACTTGCTCCGATCGTCAACAAGCAAATGGGCTCCATTTGCTTTGGTAACCTCCTGAGGATCCTGAAATTTCAGGAAGAGGGAGAAAAAGAACTTCAGCAACAACTTCAGACACGTAGCATCTACAAGATTCCGAAAACCAAAATCTAGCATTTTCTAGTCGCAGAATTGAATAAGCAATAAATAATAGGAGTACTACTTATCCAAAAAAATAAGGAATCCCCCCTTTCCATTTTATATGACAAGACATTCCAAATTGTTTCACACCATCATACTGATAATGTTATTCTGCCGTCGATACCACTTTCACAATCTTCAAGAGTTGAAACATATTTAATTATTCAAATTTTAAATGTTAATGTGATGTTTTCCTATCAAACAACTTTTTTTTTATGACCGAGAAATCTGTCTGGAGCTGACCCTTTGGTCCGAGCCTACGAAACTCGGGAATGATGGACCTGCCCCTCTACCTGTCTCCACTTAAATACCTGAGTTAGTTCCCTTACTGCGGGGCTCGAACCTGACTATCAAACAAATTTTGAACCGCTACTTCATTAATTTTTTTCACTACCACTAATACAATACAAAAATCAAATTAACATCTTAAACTGTATATTCAGTCCATACCACTGCTTTTGTCAAAAGGCACATTAACTCTCAATGTCATTCCGTTATTCATCTACACTCTTTCATTCTTAAATTTAAGCGATTAAAACCGACTAAGAGCAACCAGAAAAAAAAATAGAAATGCATCCAGTCACTAAAAACACTGAAACAAAAGGAAAGTCACCTCATTTGATCCTCTGCGACGACGTAGTCGTGGTGTTCCTGGGGCACCCGAATTACTATCCTTTTGCATTACTTCAATATCAAATCTTTACTCCACTACTAATGCATGAATACTTACAGCCACCTAGAAAATTTCAAAAATAAATAATAAGAAGCTAATGTAGCTAGAAATAGCCAAAATCATGGAATTTAACAGAGAATATTACTATTCATATAGATTTATGATACACATAAAACTCAAAGATACAAATACATACAACATAATTTCAGTAACACCATTTCAGTAAGCATTGCCATCTTATGAAAACTGAAAAGTTCAAACCTTTATAAACCCCACATAATAAACTCAACTAAAAATTGCAATAACTCATAACCCTAATCAAGAAAAGTGGGGGAAAAAACTCAAACATAACAAAAAAATTGTATCTTGATTAAAAAAAGCTAACAATTTAGACAGTTTCAATCAAGAAATAACAACAAAATACTATTTTGCTAAAAGAGTCTTCTTCAATAAACGAAACAAACTTAACTTCTTTCAAATAAATAAGTTCAAAAATCATAAACAGACAGTGGAAAAAATAGCACAGCCAATTAAAATTTAAACATAATGAGAAATTAAAGAGAATATACCTGTGTTTGTGGGAGCAAAAATATGAAGTTTCTGAGTTATGGCTTTGTTTTTTGGTTAAATTTGGAGGGTAAATTTTTTGGAGTTATAACAGGAGAACTGAAATTTAGATTTTCGATAATTATAGAACAAGCTCTTGAATTTTCCTGATTATATGGGGCTTATAAAAACTATACTCCGTACTTAACAATAATTAAAAGATAAATAAATACCAAAAATATAAGTCCAAGAGTAGTGGCATCACTGTCTTTATTCTCATGCGTTCGATAAAAACAAAAAAGAAATTTAAAAAGCTTATGGTATTATATTGCACTCTTTGGCTTTTGTTTGCCAAAAGATATTCCTTAATAGAAACATAAACTATTTTTATTTCCTTTAAAAAAAAAAAGGGTCAAGGAACTGAAGAGTTTATTTATGTAAAATTTATGTAATTTCAAGCTAAATTTCAGATTTTCAGGAATACCCAATAGTTAAATCAAGAATATGCCTAAATCTAGAATATCTAAGTTAATTAATAGTAAATGTGTGATTAAGTATTAATGAGTCATTTGTTTAATATGCCAAAATTAATAATAGAAGCATCAGGGGGCAGAAATGTCAACATAAATACATAATATCTATCTGGAGCAATGAGTTAATGATAAACACTTGTCACTTTAGGAGCTTTTGGTTGCTAAAATTTCCAGCTAAACCAAATAACCAATAATAGAGGGATGTGCATTTTTATTTTATTTTTTTGGCATTCTATTTCTTTCCCTATCCTCTCTTTTCTATTTCCTTCTTATTTGTATTCATTACTTTCTCTTGTTTTTTTTCCCATCTTTTTTGGTTCCTTTCTTTTTTAGTGGTTTGTCATAGAAAAATGCCTTTAAAGCTTCTTCTAAAAGCTTCATTTTGAAAAGCTTTTACAGCTTGTTTGGATGGTTGTTACATATTGTGTTGTATCGTATTGTTACTTTAAATATAATGTTTGTTTTGATTGTTACTTAGATTTTATTGTATCGTATCGTTAAATCTATCGTTACGTAATGACTAAAAGTATCACTTTATGGAACGACGGATTTGGTGTGGCGGCATCGTTATCTTGCTTTTTCCTCTCATTTTGTCATTCTTTATTATTAAATAATCATATTTATCTTTTATCATACTTTTTTATATAATAATTCTACTACGTATCCTATTTTTCCTTAGTAGTATTGCAATTTTATTCTTCATATTATTGGTGTGTGACATCATGAAACAATGGCAAACAATACAAGCTATCCAAACATTGTATTTATTAAATAATACAATACAGTACAATATAGATTATGAAACGATATGTAACACCAATCCAAACAAGTTGTTAGAATAAGGTTATTAGCTCTTTTAGATGGCAATGGCATCTACCTTTCTCCATGGCAAAGAAAAGCATAAATTTCATAGTTGAAGTCGTCCACTAAATATGACTAAAATGGCACTAAAAGAAGAGGGAAAGCTCAGTTTTCAGTTATTTTACTCCAAATGCATTAGATGTTTTCACTTGATAATATTATCAACTTTTAAGACTTCACATTGTCAATGATTCCTTTATGCTTTTTAAAGGCTATGCTCTGCCATAAACACAAGTTTAGAATCTTGTAAAGGAAAGGAAAACAAAAGATGCTGGTGTGGCACTTCACATGCAAAAATAAATAAATATATATATATATATATTAATAATTCATTAAGTTACAGCCAAAAATAGAAAATAATATGCTTCTAAGAGACATAAATACTTCCAAGATATCATTCTTTTGTTATGGTATCTCAGCCATTTTCATTTTTCCAACACATTCTCACCAAAAGCTGTAACTCTACCATTTACAATTATAATCTCACTGATAACTCATTCACCTCTAATAAGTAAATCAAACTATACAAAGTTTCCTCGTTTTCCTATTTTGATGTGGTAAGAGAAACTACTCTAACAATGCACTTTTCTCTTTTCCTTTACTATAAAGAAATTTACAGCTCTAAACCATCTAATCCATTCAGTGAAATTGGCCCAAGGCAATCACCTTCTATGCTTGCAAGAATGTTGAAATCCCTAGCAACAGCTCCATTGTTCCATCTCACAGCAAACACAACAAATCGGACAGCCACTTCGTTTTCAATCCTCGAGTGATCATCACATAAGAAGAATGGTTTCTCACCCGAAACATAGTTGTAATTTGGCATCTTTCGAACACTGAGATAAACAAACTTCATAGGTCCGCATTTCAGAAAGACTCCGTTGCTGACAACCTTGATAACAATACCAACCAAGACTTCCCCAGTTTTTGGTAAGAAGGAATGAAAACAGAAGGTTACTGGGAAAATGATGTACTCTGATAACTCCAACTTTCCATTGCCTATTTTTTCTTGGTACATCTTTCCATTGCCTATGCTCTTCACTTTTGTTATTCTGAGAAAGTATCCGCAATCTTCTGTAACTCTCGCACAAGCGAGGTGGTCCAAAAGATGCTTGATGACAACACTTCCCGGGACTTGTCCACTTTCTTTTATATCTTTCATCGGAACTACCACATAGAAGAGAATTTCGAGGTCGCACAGCATTGAGTCCCTACATTTCAAACACAAAATAAGATAACTAGGACAGAGAACAATGCTACAATAAATCAGCCACATTCCCTTGCCATTTCCCCTTTTTATTCTGCTGTAAGCATTTTGTGGGCGCACCAAACAGAATCATAATGTACAATGATGTAAATGGCCAGAGGCACAGGGAAGAGATCATGCCGCCTAGAGCAAAATGAGTCGCAACAAAGATTAAGTAAAGTTTATCGATATCTGTAAGCCCGAATCAATAAGTGCACCACACCTGGCTATTAAAATTTAAAAATAATATAAAGAATGACAAAATGCAGATATACAACAGCTAATAGACAGAAGGGAAATGCAAGACCAACAGATAGAGTTGTCTACTGCATAACCAATGCCTTAATCATGTAATCTGAATAATCAACAAGTACCTAAGTTGACACCCTAGTTAACTAATACTATGAGAACAACTATTATTAAAATGAAACAAAACAGCTATAGAGGAAAACAAGCAAATTGATAGGATAATTTGGCGTGTGGAAAGTAGAAGGAGCAGCCTTAAGGCCATCTACCATTCACAACAAGATTGGCATCTACCTTGGGGTAGGGAGTGAGTGGTAACCCTATGTAGAAAAAAACACATTTAGGAGATATAGTCATATAGAACTGTAAATTGCAAATAGGGGTGGCAAATTGCAAATAGGGGTGGCAAGCGGCCGGGGCAAGCTGGATATGGGCGGGTCGAAAACGGGTAACACAAAAATGGACAAAATAATCCGATCCGACCCATATTTAATACGGATAAAAAACGGGTTAACTGGCGGATATTATGGATATTATCCATGACTTCTTGAATATGATAACTTTTGGAAGAATTCCTAGTCTCCCAAACTTGAGCAACCTCCAATTTGAGACTTTACAAATGTAAAAATTAAACCCATTGGTTATCCATTTTCTAAGTGGATAATATGATTCTTATCCATATTTGACCCGTTTTTAAATAGTTCATTATCCAACCCACTTTTTAATGGATAATATGGGTGGATAAGTATTTTCTTTTAACCATTTTACCACCACTAATAGCAAATAAGATAGAGGAAATATCTAACTGTCGAATAAGAATCTTGCATGATAGACACGACATTCATCCAACCAGCATGCTCAAGAGAGCGTTCAAACAGGAGCTTACTTGAAGACAATGGGAGTCTGCTCAATAGAGATTGGGAATGTAAAATACAGCATGGTTGGAGCTAAGCAAATTGAGCAGCAGCGGCCTGGATAAATTAGCTAGCGAGTCAAGCAGAAAATTCGGTTTCTACCTCAAGGGATCTTTCGGAATTCCTAAAGTCTTTAGTGTAACTATTACCAGATTCTAGGTCTTTTGGACATCACAAGCTAACTAAAATAAAGAAAAAATGCTACCACTGGTTTCATGTTTCACCAACATATAAAATGGCCAAAAATGATTGTTCTGCCCTATCACTTCTTAGTTTTAAATTCTTGAGAACGCTAACTTGGAGAAAAAATTCAAGAAAGTTCAGATCTTCACTAACATACGAAGTAGTTACATACTTTTTTTATAAGGAAAGTATTTATATACTTTCTTTGTATTCATTTGATTTAAAATTTTCTTGCCTCCTCCAACAGTTTTATGAGAAGGTTGGAAGCTTTTGGGACAATAAGACCGAAATTTTTAAAAGTTGAGACATATCTGAATCTGATACAGTTTATGTCATTTAAGCAACATCAAACTATATCTTGAGAGATCAAATTCATCTACTTCAGCTCTTACAATTATAAGAAAGGGCACAATTAAACAGAAAAAGAAAAGTAGCTGACATGATATCCATCATTAAGCATTACATCTCTTAGCAAATACTCATCCAAATTAAGAAGAAAAGAGAACGCAATAAAGGACTGTGCTTTATTTCCTCTTATGATTTTATTTTCCTTTCTATTTTAAGGTATCATTACAGAGTTTCAGTGTAACAAGATACTTGTTCCTACAACCTATCCATAAGAACTAAAAGAAAAATCAAAATCAGTCTATTTCGAGATTTGGCCAACTTTGGATGAAACCTGATAAAACTTCTCTGGTGACGCTGAATAGGATTGCAAATAATTCTAGCCTGGCAAATTTCCCCGACTCTCTATAGTCTTATATCTTTTCCTTATCGAAGCTTCTTAATGAAGCCCGCCATGAACTATGTAGATTCAAGCTATAATTCTCACTCAACGAGACCCACATTCTACATAATGAATTTCTACTTTTTTTAAAGAAAAAGACAAATGCACTTAATAATCTGAGCAGTGGCGAAGCTAGGAAATTCAATAAGGGTGTTCAATTTGAACACCTTTGCCAGTAGGCTATGCAAGGGTGTTCGAAGTCTATTTTTAATCAATAACAAGTAATATTTTACCTTATACGTAGTATAATTTTTCGGCGAGTTGACCACTTATGGATTTAGAATTCTAGCCTCTTTTAAGTTATTGAATTATAGCCCCTTTATACATATTAAATGTATTTCTTAAGAGAAATACAGAATTTAGACCAAAGTTACTGGGTTCGACCGAACTCGTATTTTGGTCTCTAGCTCCGCCCCTGATGACATGTGTCTAGCACAATCCCGTAAGGTACTACATTTGCCATTGAATCAAAGCCCAAGAGGCATACATCCATAGAAAATTCTCATGACAAAAAGAGTACAACAGCCACATAAATGGACGTAATTCACGACTCACCCATTAAAACCTTCTAAAGAGAAGCAAAACCCAGAGTTGCAAAAGCACATCATTTCAAATGGAAGGAAAAAAAAAACATCATGTAAAAGCGACAAAAAAAAATAAACAAAAACTACCAAAAATGATGTTATGTAAAATGACCCTACAAAAGTCAACTATTTTATTTGTTTTACTGATCTCCGGCAATAACATTTGTAAATGGACAACGAAATCAAATCTCTAAAAAATTACAGAAATGGAATCACTGAAAACCAAAGATTAGTAAATGAATTCTTACCCAGAAAGAAGAAAACTTTGCAGTTGCTTTTTTGGGAGCTTTACGAAGAAGAACTATTGAAACAATTATGGAAATGAAAGGGAAGTATAGAGATGAAGAGTTGGTTATAGCAACTGTTGGGGTTGGGAATTGGGACGATTCGCTTACCGGGTACGACCAATTTTTCTGCCACTTCCCCAAAGTTGCAAACTTTGTAACCTCTTTCTATTTTCAAATATCATGTTTTTTGGGAGCCAAAAGCACTTTTTTAGAAATATAAATTTTTTCCATATTTAAGCAATAAGCTTTTTGGAACAGTTTTTCTGTTGTAATGTGGGCCTTTTGGTCATAGATTTTGTTAAAAAAAAATTCAATTTTTTTTGGCTAATACATGTTTGTTTATAGATTTTATTCATATTTTGGCAAAATTTCAAATCTCAAAACCAGCTCAAGAACTGTTTTTGGCCCAAAATATTACCGTTTGATTTTTTAAAAATCTTTCAAAAGTTACCGTAAACTTTTGTATTTTATAAAAAGATCCAATTTCTGTTAACATGACCCAACTAATCCATATCTACTCATTTTTCCATTATTAAACTCATGCGGCTTTGCCCTTCTCTATAAACATAAGAAAACACTCGCCAAAGTTGTTGTGCCAATCTGTGGCAATGCACGACAAAAATAAAATTTGAAGGTAATTTGCTAAAATCTGCTGATATTTGTATAAATTTTCTTCAAATTTGTTTCGCTTGTTTTGTGAATTTTGTTAGGATTTGTTTAGCTTGTTTTGTATGAATTTTTTTTAGAGTTGTTGGATTTTTTTGATAGTTTTTAAAACTTATGGGTATAAGTCACATTTCAAAAAAATTTTAAAAATATATATATATATTTTGAAAAATTATGTCCAAATATATTTTCATCTTCAAACCAAACTCCACCCAAATCAGATTTCTTAAAACAAATTTGGGAATCCCTGGCCAAACGCTAGCGTAGTTTCTCACATATATGAAAGTAGGAAGTTAAACTTTTTAGGACAAAAATATCATTATTTATAATACCTTCTCTGTTCCAATTTATGTGATGTACTTTTTTTAGTGTGTCACGAATTATATATATATTTTATTTAATAATAATCTAACTTTAAATATTTTTTACTTTATTATTAATGAGTAACTTATAAAACATAGAATATATGATTTATTTTAGACAATAAATTTAAAAATAATATTTTTTGACGGAGGGAATAATAGAAGTAGTTTTGTGTTGTAAGGCAAAAAAAATTCAAATTTTAGCTTCATCCCGTGAGTATAAAATACAAAAATATCATTATTTATAAAAATGCTCCTTATTGATTCGAAAGGGAAATCAAACCATTAACAATTATCTCATTCTCCTCCTTTTCTCCCCAACTCTTTTGTTCCGTAGATATCAAATAGAAGATGACACATTTTGATTAAATAAAGTTGAAAAGAATTATTCAAACCCTAAATAATAAATAATTAAGATCATTTTTAATATAAAATTAATTATAAAGTAAATCTATATATGTCATATCGTAATTAGACACTTAGAAATACTTTTAAAATAATATCGCAAAAGGGTCAGATTACCACTCTACTATGTGAAAAAGATCAAGTTTGCGCTCCATTATATTTTTCATCTAAAATAACCCTGTTGTTTTAAAATTTAGTCAAATACACTCCTCCTCTGTTAAGATTATCCAAGGTGGACTACCAATCCCACATAGCACAGACATTTTGGCCACGCGGCATGCCACCTCATTGCCCCAACCTATATTATCCTTCCCTTCTATCGGAAACAGCCTCTCTACCACAGGGTAGGGGTAAGGTCTGGGTACACACTACCCTCCCCAGACCCCACTAGTGGAATTATACTGGGTTGTTGTTGTAACCACAAGGCAAGAAACCAAATTTTCATACAACTCATAGTACTATTGTCAATCAAGATTGCATTTTAAAGACAAGCCCACCAAAAAGATCAAATTTTGTAATAATAGCACCGGCTAGCCGGTTTTTGGACTGGTAATTAAAAAATAACCAGCATTTGCAAAGTCATTGAAAAATAGTCATTATTTTGCTGCAACACAGAAAGTTCCAGCATAATATACTGGAGATTGGTGCACCTGCGTATGAACTTCCAGCATATTATGCTGGAACTCCATCACACGGAAAGTTCCAGCATAATATACTGGAGATTGGTGCACCTGCGTATGAACTTCCAGCATATTATGCTGGAACTCCATCACACGGAAAGTTCCAGCATAATATACTGGAGATTGGTGCACCTGCGTATGAACTTCCAGCATATTATGCTGGAACTCCATCACACGGAAAGTTCCAGCATAATATACTGGAGATTGGTGCACCTGCGTATGAACTTCCAGCATATTATGCTGGAACTCCATCACACGGAAAGTTCCAGCATAATATACTGGAGATTGGTGCACCTGCGTATGAACTTCCAGCATATTATGCTGGAACTCCATCACACGGAAAGTTCCAGCATAATATACTGGAGATTGGTGCACCTGCGTATGAACTTCCAGCATATTATGCTGGAACTCCATCACACGGAAAGTTCCAGCATAATATACTGGAGATTGGTGCACCTGCGTATGAACTTCCAGCATATTATGCTGGAACTCCATCACACGGAAAGTTCCAGCATAATATACTGGAGATTGGTGCACCTGCGTATGAACTTCCAGCATATTATGCTGGAACTCCATCACACGGAAAGTTCCAGCATAATATACTGGAGATTGGTGCACCTGCGTATGAACTTCCAGCATATTATGCTGGAACTCCATCACACGGAAAGTTCCAGCATAATATACTGGAGATTGGTGCACCTGCGTATGAACTTCCAGCATATTATGCTGGAACTCCATCACACGGAAAGTTCCAGCATAATATACTGGAGATTGGTGCACCTGCGTATGAACTTCCAGCATATTATGCTGGAACTCCATCACACGGAAAGTTCCAGCATAATATACTGGAGATTGGAGCACCTGTGTATGAACTTACACCATATTATGCAGGACTAGTATATTATGCTGGAACTCCAGTATAATATACTGGAAGTTCACATGTAAAAAATTCGAACTCCAGTATATTATGCTGGAATATTTTCCGAATTTTGAACAATGTTTTCGTTCAAATTTATCTTTACATGAAAAGTGGCTAAATTTCTATTTCTTTTGAAACTGTAGCTATTTTTCAATTACCACTCGTAAATCTGGCTATTTTTTACTTTCACCCTCAAATTTTGTGCTGAAAACAAGTCCAAAACATGGAATTTGTCTACTAAAGCTAGTGCTTCTAGCTTGTGTAGTTCTTGGTTAGGCAAATAGTATGAAATCCATAATGAAACTAAGCTAAAAATGCCCCCCAAGTTGTGCTTAGTTATATGAATAATGGGGATACATCTAGTTCTTATTTTGAAGAAAGTAGTAGTGGTGGTAGTAGTACAATGGACAGAATTGTTGAGAAACTAAGGAAATTTGGGTATCTCAGCCATTTTCATTTCTTCAGTACATTCTTAGCAAAGCTGTAACACTGCCATTTAAAGTTATAATATCACTGATAACTCATCACATCCAATAAAACCTATACAAGGTTTCCTGTTTTCCTATTTTGATTTGGTAAGAGAAACCACTCCAACACTGCACTTTTCTTCTCCTTAACTACAAAGATTTTACAGCTCTACACCATCTAATCCATTCAATGAAATTGGCCCAAGGCAATCACCTGTTATGCTTGCAAGAACGTAGAAATCCCTACGATTATCATTCCATCTCACAGCAAACACCACAAATCGGACAGCCACTTCGTTTTCAATCCTCGAGTGATCATCACATAAGAAGAATGGGTTTTCACCCGAAACATAATTGTAATTTGGCATCTTTCGAACAGTGAGATAAACAAACTGCATAGGTCCACATTTCAGAATGACTCCATGACTGAAAACTTTGTAGACAATACCGACCAAGACTTCCCCAGTTTTTGGTAAGAAGGAGCGAACACAGAAGGTTACTGGGAAAACGATGTATTTTATTGAGTACGTCAACTTTCCACTGTCTACTTTTTTTTGGTACATCTTTCCATTGTCTATGCTCTTCACTTTTGTTATTCTGAGAAAATATCCGCAATCTTCTGTAACCCTCACACGAGTGATGTAGTACAAAAGATGCTTGATGACAACACTTCCAGGGACTTCTCCACTTTCTTTTATATCTATATTAGGAACTAGAATATTGAAGAGAAGTTCAAAGTCGCACAGCATTGAGTCCCTACAGTTCAAACACGAAATAAGACAACTAAGACAGAGAACAATGCTACAATAAAGCAGCCACATCATCTTGCCGTTTTCCATTTTTTATTCTCCATTAAACATTATTTTTGCTCCCATACCCCAGGTGTGGGCGCACTAAACAGGATCATATTGTAACGATATAAACGGCCACAGGCACGGGGAAGAGATCATGCCACAACTGAGTAGCAGGCTCTCTCAGAGACAAGTAAAATTTATCCATATTCATAAGCTCGAATCGATAAATGCACCACACATGGGCTATGACAACTGTAAAAGATTAAAGAATGACAAAAGGCAGATATACAACAGCTAATAGCACAGATGGGAAATGCAAGACCAACAGATAGAGTTGTCTACTGCATAACCCAATGCCTTAATCATGTAATTTAAACCAACAATTACCTGAGGTGATATCCTAGTTATAACTAATACTATGAGCACAACAATTATTAAAACGACTCTACTGGTGATAAAACAACAAGCACAATTATTATTCAAAAAGACACATCAACAAAACAACTATAAAGGAAACAAGCAATGGTACAATAGTTTGGTATGTGGAACGTAGAAGGAGCAGCCTTAAGACCGTCCACCATTGACAACAAGATTGGCATCTATCCCGAGGAAGAGAGTGGGTGGTAATGCAATGTAGAAAAAACACATTTAAGAGATATAGGACTGTAAATTGCAGTACAGAGATATAAATAAGACAGAGGAACTAATCTTAACTGTTGAGAGAATCTTGCATGATTGGGAGACCATTCATCCAACCAGCATACTCAAGAGAGGCTTCGAGACAGTGGAAGTCTGCTCAATAGAGACTGGGAATGTAAAATACAGCGTCGTTGGACACAGGCAAACAGAGCAGCAGTCGGCCTGCCAAACTTGGCTCACGAGAGTCGAGCAGGAAATTCTGCTTGTACCTCAGTCACCGAGAGAACTTTTGGAGCTTTTAAAATAGGCCAGAGTTCTTCAGTTCAACTATGACCAGATTCTAGGTCTTTGGACCTCACAGCTAACCAGAATAAAGAAAAAACGCAACCGCTGGTTTCATGCCTCAGCCTCACCAACATGTACAGTGGCCAACCTTCTCAGTTCTTAATTCTTGAGAAAGCTAATTTGGAAAATTTTCAAGAAAGTCAACATCCCTACCAGTGTTATCAAAGTCGAAAAGCGCAAAAAGCTTTAAGATCTGTTGGGGCTTTAAGCGTAAATAAAGTGTGGGCTTTATTCAAGAAAGGCGCAAATGGAAAAAAAATTCAAATATGTATGTGTAGTCCGGGACTAATAATTATAAGTATGAATAACAAATATATGGATAAAGAAATTGACAAAAGAATTACAATAAGTGAAATATCAATTGTTTTGTATAGTCTTTTCAGGATTACGCTCATTGAAGGAAAAGTATCCCTAGAGCCTTGATGACGACACTGAAGCGCTCCTTAAGCAACGCGAAGTGCTCAACATGTTTTGCGCCTCATTTCAGGGCAAGCACGCCTTAAGCGCGCCTTTGACAACACTGATCTCCACTAATAAAAGTATTTAATACTTTGTATGCATTCAGTTGGTAAGAACTTTCATCCCACCTCCCATGGTTTTAAAAGAAGGATAGAAACATTAGCGACGATGAGGTCGGAAATTATAGAAGTTGAGACATATATCTAAATATATGATATGCCTTTGCAAGCTGCAAAATCAAAATATACCTTGAGATACCAACTTCTTCATATACTTCAGTTTTCATAGTTACAAGCGAGGACAAAATTAAACACGAAAACTAAGCAGCTGACATGATATCCATCATCAAGCATTATATCTTGGCCAGCTCAAGAAAATCTCTTGCACAACTTAGCAAATAACAATCCAAATTAAGAAGATAAGAAAAGGCAGATAAAGAACTATGTTGTACTTCATCTTTTTATTTTCGTTTTCCTTTTTAAATTGAAGTATCAATTCAGTGTACGGTTCCTGCAACCTATACATAAGAACTGAAGAAGATACTTACTGAATATGATGACGGGGAGAGAGAAAATAGTGGTTGGAGGAAAACGAAAGAGTAAAAACGATTTCTCAATAGTACCCTACTACTATGGAAAGAGGCATGGGCATTCAGAGCACAAAACAATCAATATAAACAAAAAAAGAAAGTTATGCAAAAGGAAGATGCAAGAAATTGGATGTGACTTTGAGACCTCATTCATTAACAAAAACTACAATGCTTTTGTTACAAACCAATAAAAAAACTGGTCCAACTTTTGATTATCAATATTTCTATGTTATTGAGCAGAGTTTAGCTAAGCTTATATCAGTCTAGCTTGAGCACAATTTGAAGTCGTTTAGTATTCTAGTCAAGATCAGTCATGCTAACTCGACTCAACTTAACATGATTACGCATCAACCCACATGATTATTGTGGTCCACAAGATACTGTAGCGACAAAATAGAAATAGTCTTAATATTCTTTTGGAAAGGTAGGCTGATTCATAATATTGCTACCGGTTATGAACTATATTCCACTATATTGAAAATCTAATGTTAAAAAGGAAGGTGGAAAGACACTTTAAAAAAAGACATGCATTGTAATCTTCGGCATTGAACCCGTATCGATTACATATAACACCATCTTATACTCCTAAAAACTTTTGATGAGTACTAATTCCATTTCTTTTTCCCTGTTTTTCTGAGTTTAAAAGTTGATTTTATGAGGTCATCAAGAACATAAAATGTAACATCGTCTATTTGATTTCTTTTTCTTTATTTCAATCAGCACCTTGTTTGCATGTTGTAATTCATATATTTCTTATTGATCTCTGGTAAAATTGGAGAGAAGACACATTCTGCATAATAAACCTGCCGTTTTGTTTTGTATCCTTTGCTCCCTCTAAAATACTTTGACAACAGAAGCACAGCACATAAATGCAAAGTTAGAATACAATTAGAAACATGTGGAGACTTGGCGTCCCTGGTGCTCCTAAGCAGGCTAATTGGCTGGTAAGGAAGATTTTTGAATGCCATCTTGGGATTTCTATTTGCAGCCACTGTCTATCATATCTGGTTAGAAAGAAAAAGCCGTAGATTCAGCAAAGTCCTACAGTTACATATAGTGGGGCAAAAACATTGTAAATGGATAAGCTGTTTAGATAGGCTTAGCTGTTTCCCTTGTTTGTAGGTTTGGTTTCTGTTTTGTTTAGCAGACCAACTTACGATACTTTTCTGTTGGTTATTTGAGGATCTAGCTCTAGAGTCTGATAAGCTGGTATGGATATATTGACACTTCCGATAAATAAAAAATTTCATTTGACCAAAAAAATAGAACATATTAGTAACACTCCTACAGTCACAAACTACATTAGAGGCGGAATTAAGATTTGAACCTTATGGGTTCGAGATTATCATCCTTTTAAGTTATTGGGTTCTAAATTAATGATTTGTACATACTACCTCCGTTCCAGTTTATGTGAACATATTTCTTTTTTGGTCCGTTCCAAAAAGAATGATCCCTTTCTAAATTTGGAAACAATTTTGTAAACTTACAAATCTACCCTTAATGAGAAGCTTTTATAACCACACAAAAACTCTGGGCCCCTTTTTGAATTGTTTAGGACCACAAATTTCAAAAGTCTTCATTTTTTCTTAAACTCCGTGCCCAGTCAAACATGTTGACATAAATTGGAACGGAGGGAGAATTTATTGAATTTCTTAATACAAATACAGAGTTTGAACAAAAGCTATTGGGTTCAACCGAACCCACAAACAGCATTGTGGCTCCGCCCCTGACTACACATTCATGTTAAACTTTACCGGGTGAATAGACATACTGAAACCTTAAACAGAAATTCAACTAAAGGGCCATTGTGTACAAATAAGCATGGAGTATTTGCAGCCTTGCATCCAAATGACGCTCCACCCCCAACTTAATTTCCATATTTCAGTTTTTGCCTACCAATTCGACATAATTTGAGAATCTCATCAGACATGATAATTTCATCATTTAGAAACTACTTTAGTCAAACTTAATTAAAACACAAGTCATTAATTCAGAGATCTCTTCAGTAATTCCAAAATCCAAATCGCGGGTTGATGGAAAATCATGGAAATTGTAGCCAATCATCAACAGATTTCTTTTATAACCAAGAAATCTGGTGTTTTCAATTTGAATACTCCCCGGACAACAGGAGCACCCCGCTACCCTTCTCTACTTAAAAATACTAGACCTAATTCACCTTCAAGATTCAAACTCATGACATGTGTCCAACACACATCATGATGTCGTCAGGGGTGGATGTAGAGAACAAGTTATGGGTTCATCCAAACCCAGTAGCTTTAGCATAGACATTGTATATGCGTAAAAAGATTCACTAAACAAGTACAAGTAATAGATTTTGAACCGTTAAATCCAATGGGTTGTGGTACAATTTCGAACTCGAACCGATAAAAGTTCAAATTATGGATCTGCCTCTGCACACAGGGGTGTAGGTAGCTTTCAGGATACAGGTTCGGCAGAATACAGCAGTTTTGAAATTCTTTAAATATGTACAAAAATTTAATTTTGAACTCAGTTACTAACACTTATGGTCACTGTCCTAGAATCCAGAACTCATAAAGCTTAAATCTTGGATCCGCCTTTGTGTGTTGTACTACATTTGCCATACAAATTCTCATAACGAAAAGATTATAACAACCACATCAATCCACGTAAATCAAGACTCAGCCATTAAACCTTCTAAAGAGAAGCAAAACCCAAAAGCACATCATTGTAAATGGAAGAAAAAACGGAGACCCATCAATCAAAAGCCAACAAAAAATCAACAGAAAACTACAGAAGATGGATTTATTGAAGGAAAAAAAAATTAGTATGAAATTCTTACCCAGATAGAAGAAAACTTTGCCCTTTTTTNACCTCTTTCTATTTTCAAACAAATGTCATGTTTTGCCAAATATTTGGGAGCCAGAAGCATCTTTTTTGGTTTTCAAAATAGCAGAGATCTTATAGCCCGTTTGGCCTAGCGTTCTTCAAATCAAAAAGTTTCAAAAAAGTACCTTTTTCAAAATCGATGAAAAATATATTTTTGAGTAGAAATAATTTTGGAGAAGCATAAAAAAATTAATTTTTCGCCAAAAATACTTTTGAGAAAAATATGTTTAGAAACACTTTTAAAAAATTTGATCAAATATTAATTATTGCTCAGAATTACTTTTCAAATTAATTAACCAAGGCCAAAATTATTTCTCCCCGAAAATACTTCAAAAAAAATACTTTTGAGAGAAAACACATTTCATAATAAGTTAATTTTAGAAGTTTGGCCAAACAAGTTACATGTTTGGCCAATCTTTAGAACCATACTTTCCCATGTGTGTGTGTTCCCTACTTAGATTTTATATGGTGTACATTACAAATATGATATTCGTGTATATATATATATATATATATATATATATATGTATAAACTTCATATTTAACATCATACAAATATTTATAACTTATTTTAGAATAAATTTGAAAATCTCTTTTCTTAAATTTTGTAACCAATCACATAAAATCACATGAAATAAAATGAATGGAGTAATATGAGTAATTTTGTGATGTACGGAATAAACTACAAATTATAGCTTCTACCTACCACTAGAATTACAAAACTAAAATTTTTAAACAAAATATCATTATATTAATATTTTGATTCAAAAGGAAAATCAATCTTTAAAGTTATTCCTTCTCATTCTTTTACCATGGTTTTCCTTCTCACCAACTCTTTATACACGCAAATCTCAAATAGAAGATGACATATTTTAATTAAATACAATTTGAAAATTAATTCAAATCTCTAAATAGTAAATAACTAAGATCATTTTTAAAATAATAATAGTATTAATTGTAAGATAAATCTATACATGGTTGTTTTCGTAATGTAACGCTTAGAAACAGTTTTTGTAAGAAAATTAATCAAACATAAATCGCGTTTCAAATAAAAAAGAAAATACAGTATCTAATAATTTGGCCAAAAACAAACCGCTCAAAAAACTCATGTTTATAATACAATTTACTTATGAAGAAAAACGCCCCAACGAAAAAAAGAAACTATAAAAATCTTATTTATCACAGCCGGTTAAAAAGAAAAGGGAAAAAGAAAATAAGTCGAAACAAACATTTGCAAATCACTCACTGAGATAGATATTCTTTGAAAGAGCGAACAAACCCCACCCAAAACCCTCACATTCTCACTCTGGTTTTCTTTGTTTCTCAATCATTTCACATATAGATACATGTTAATGTATTATATATGTGTTTTTTATGCATAAAATTTGAGTATGGCTCTTGTCCCTAGCCACCAATTCTACCCAAGAACCACAAGGCTATCATTCCTCAGGTACAATTCAATTATTCCCTTCAAAAAACCAAATTTTCATACACCCCATGATAATATTGTCAATCAAGATTGCATTTTTAAGAAAACCCCACCAAAAAGATCAAATTTTGTGCTGAAAAACAAGTCCAAAACATGGAATTTGTCTCCTAAAGCTAGTGCTTCTAATTTGAGTAGTTCTTGGTTAGGTAAATGGAATGAAATCCATAATGAAATTAAGCTAAAAAAGCCTCAAATTGTGCTTAGTTATAGGAATAATGGGGATACATCTGGTTCTGATTATGAAGAAAGTAGTGGTGGTGGTAGTAGTACAGTGGACAGAATTGTTGAGAAATTGAAGAAATTTGGGTATGTTGATGAGGCTAAACAGAAGGATAAAAAGGTAATTAGAGATGTTGAAAAAGGGTCTATTGAGGATATATTTTTTGTTGAAGAAGGAATATTGCCAACTGTAAGAGGTGGGTTTTCGGAGGAATCTCCATTTGGTGATGAGAATGTGTTTGTTAAAGATGGTGTGGTTAAATTTCCATGGGAAAAGCCAGTGGTGAAAGAAGAAGAGGGGATTAATTCGATGAGCAGTCGGAGTAGGACTCATTTGGCTGAGCTGACTCTTCCTGCTTCTGAGCTCAGAAGGTTGACAAATTTGGCTCTTAGGATAAAGAACAAGACGAGGATTAGCGGTGCTGGTGTTACGCAACAAGTTGTAGAAACCATTCGCGAGAAGTGGAACACATCGGAGGTTGTCCGGTTGAAAGTTGAAGGTGCTCCAGCACTAAATATGAAAAGAATGCATGAGATTCTAGAGGTTAGCCAACAGAGCTTTTTATTGAATGTTTCCTTGTATACCTCTGTTTCGTGTTTATTTGCTTCAGTCTGTGATTTTTTTTTTTTTTTTTTTTTTTTTTTTTTTTTTTTTTTTGTGTCTGCTCCTTTTGAGCATTTAGCTCATGTTTCCTGTCCTTAATGAAGTGTAAATCATGTATGTAAGTGGATCACAAAGTTCCACTTTATTCTTGTATGCATCGCGGTTAAACAAATTGGTGAGAATGCTTTTTGGTTTTCCAGTAAAGGAGGAAAGAAAGTACTTCAAGTGATTTCTTAGTTGTTGGCGTACAGTTCAAACATATAGAGTTAGGCTATACCATTATAGCACATTAAACAGTAGTCTTTAGTTAATTGAATTATCTTGTATCCCTGTTGCATAGGCATATGTCTTTTATTTTGTACTGATTTTCCGCAGAGCGACATGTATAGTAGAATTGTTGATAGAACCTTTATGGATGCCATCTTTGAGATAAAACCGCTTGAGTGTATATTTACAATAATAGCCATCTCTTGACGAGCAAAGGGCTTAGTTTTTGGAGCATGTGGTTTCATATAATTCACAATGAATATTATCTTTCATTAGCTTTTAGCTTTTTTCTAATTCATGTTTTCCCACTATTCAGAGGAAAACTGGTGGACTGGTGATTTGGAGATCTGGCTCCTCTGTGGCTCTTTACAGAGGGGTCAGTTATGAGACTCCATCTGAGCGAATGAAGAAGAGGATAATGAGAAGAGATGAGATTCGTCATAAGAACTCTCCAATAGTTGATGATGAAAGTAATAAAAATCCTTCAGAAACCAGTCCTCGCAATGATATGAATCCACTACGACCAGAATCTGCAAATACTTCTGAAGAGAACGGAAATATCGTGAGACAACCAGAAGTGAACTATGAAGATGAAGTAGACAAATTGTTGGATGGCCTGGGGCCTAGGTATACAGATTGGCCGGGAGCCGAGCCACTTCCTGTAGATGCAGATTTACTTCCAGGTTTAGTCCCCGGATATCAACCTCCGTACAGACTTCTCCCTTATGGGGTGAGATCTACTCTTGGGACGAAGGAGGCAACCGCTTTAAGAAGGCTTGCCAGAATTCTACCTCCACATTTTGCTTTAGGTAGGCAACACTGCACTTATCAAAGTCTTTTGGGCTGTCTCGAAATATGCTCTAAATATTATGTAATTCAAGTATTCAGGTAGAAGCAGGCAGCATCAAGGTTTGGCGTCAGCGATGATTAAGTTGTGGCAAAGAAGTTCAATTGCAAAGATTGCTATAAAACGTGGCGTCCAGCTTACTACAAGTGAAAGAATGGCTGAAGATATTAAGGTAATAAAAGAGTGTTTTGGTGTAATTCTGAATGCTATCAACAAAAAAGTGGTGTCAATGCCATGCCTTCTAGTTGGTATTCTACCGTCATATACTTGTTATTTACTTTCAAGTTGCACTTTGTTTGGTCCAACAGGTCTTATGGACAGTTGTTGATTCAAACACAAGCCAAAATATCATTACAATCGAAAGGCAAAGGAATGGGGAAAAAAACTGACTTAAAATACACATAGAATGAATGAATTATGCAATTTAGCTAAATCTCAATGTTTCAAAAGTACATATTGCAAATGTATTGTCTCATAAACACATATTGCAATGGTATTGTGTGTTTGTCCAACCAAAAATGAGGCTGTTTCAAGCAAACCTGGAAGATGATATGAAGATTATAGGTTTTTTTTAATTGAAAAAATGCCACTGGAGTGAATTGTTTTGTTCATACTGAGTTTAACGTTTTTCGGATATCTAATTAAGAGTCAGATATTTTCTGTCACAGGCCAAATATTTACTCTTTCTGTATTAACTGAATGTCGATAGCGTAGCAATGTAGCTTTACAATATCTATGTATAATTTGGTTTTGGTTCAGAAATTAACAGGGGGCATGCTACTCTCTAGAAACAAGGACTTCTTAGTATTTTATAGAGGCAAAGATTTTTTGTCACCAGAGGTTGCAGAAGCCTTGTTGGAGAAGGAGAGATTGGCAAAGACGTTGCAAGATGAAGAAGAGCAAGCTAGGCTACGAGCATCAGTCTCATTCACAGCAGGTGTTGCAATTAGTGATTCTTCAAGGACAACTGGCACACTAGGAGAAACTTTGGATGCTGATGCTAGATGGGGGAAAAGGCTGGACGATAAGGACAAGGAAAATGTGATGAGAGAAGCAGAAATAGTAAGGCATGCTGACTTGGTCAGGAAGCTCGAAAACAAGCTTGCATTTGTAAGTTCTGCAAATCAGGTTACTTTTATTAAAAGCATATTTTTACTGGAGATTCAAGAGTTCTCAATCTGTAATATCTTGGAGATTCAAGAGTCCAGTGAGAGACAATAAAGCGAAATGTACTTTTTCAGGCGGAAAGAAAGTTAATGAAAGCTGAGCGTGTGTTGTCAAAGGTGGAGGAAACTTTAAATCCTTTGGATAGGCGTGCAGAGCCTGACAGCTTAACAGATGAGGAGAGATTTATGTTTCGGAAGCTTGGGCTAAGGATGAAAGCTTTCTTACTTTTGGGTAACATTCTTTCTCTGACTCAAATTTTTTGTGCTTAACAAACAGAAAATGACATGGAAAGCTCTTTTTTTCCAGGTAGGCGTGGAATTTTTGATGGTACGGTGGAGAATATGCACTTGCACTGGAAGTACCGTGAATTGGTCAAAATCATGGTGAAGGCCAAGAATTTTGAGCAAGTATCAAAAATTGCATTAGCCCTTGAAGCCGAGAGTGGGGGCATCTTGGTTTCAGTGGACAAAGTGTCCAAAGGATATGCTATAATTGTGTTCCGTGGTAAAGACTACAGTCGGCCACCTACTCTGAGGCCCAAAAACCTTTTAACCAAAAGAAAGGCACTGGCACGTTCAATAGAGCTTCAGAGACGTGAGGTACCTTCTTTGGCCTAATTCCTTAGTCTTGAAAAGGTTGTCTCTTTTTATGTGCCAAGTACACGTCATTTTCCTAATGATTGAAAAGCAATCGTCAGCGCATTCGGTTTATGTTGCTTGAGTCTGCTACTGCAAGAGTTGGTACATAGGTAATATATTTTAATATTTTGAAGAGATTTGTGCTGATTACAAGGCTTTGCTACTGCTTCTTTAACAGGCTCTTCTGAAGCATATTTCAACAGTTCAAACAAGAGTACAACAGCTTACAGCTGAAATTGTATGATCTCTTTGCTGCGCACATCTATTTCTAGCCATTCTTTCTTAAACTTAAATAGATCCTTATGTTAGTTGGTAACTTTTTATCTCATTTTGATTTGAGTTGAACCTTTTCTCCCATATGGTTGTGATGGTAGGAACAACTGGCTAGTGTGAAAGACACTGGAGATGATGAACTATATGATAAGCTAGATTCCGCTTATTCTACTGAAGATGAGGATAGTGAGGTTAGTATCTCCATCTGGCATTTTATGTTCACTTGATTATGCAGTTTCTTTCTTCTTTTTAGATTGCACATGGAATATCATTTCTGTTTCTCTTGGTCAAGGAGCAGTTCTAATGGCTGGAATTGTCTACTAGGCCATTATAATTTACAAGTAGGCCCGAATAACCTCGATTTTTCCTGTTGAAGCACTATTCTAGCTCAGGCCAAAACATGGCTTTAAATCAATGCCAACCTGGCTTAATCAAGCTAATAAATGCTGCCGCTATTGGGGCAAATGGGGTCCATTAGATAAGTGGCATGTGTCTTTTTTATCAATCAATCAATTACGCCTAAATTTCAAATTAGTTAGGGTAGAGCCGGTAGGTTGTATGGATCCTCTATATCCATCCCGCTCTCTTCGTGTCCAAGCATATATGTAGATGAATACATGCAGATTTTCTCGTTCATTGATGATTTTATCCTGAAGGGGAGCCTTGACGTAACCGGTAAAGTTGTTGCTATGTGACCAAGAGGTCACGGGTTCGAGCCGTAGAAATAGCCTCTTGCTGAAATGTTGGGTGAGGTTGCGTACAATATACCCTTGTGGTCCGGCCTTTCCCTGGACCCCGCGCGTAGAATGAGCTTAGCACTAGGCTGCCCTTTGTTTTTATGATGATTTTATCCACATACAAACACAATGCAAAAACACCATGAAAATCTCCTTGCTAGCTTTGTTTTATTGCATCAGCCTATGATTTGCTATTGTTAATGGTAAAAGATAAGTTAAAAGGGTGGTCATTCAGGACAGTGCAACTTCCTGCTTCACAATGCGCACAATAAAGATGCACCCTTTTCTTGTTTTTGACTCTTCATTATTATAGTTAAACCGAAGGGGAACATTGGCGTAGCTGGTAAAGTTGTTGCCATGTGACCAGGAGGTCACGGGTTCGAGCCGTGGAAATAGCCTCTTGTAGAAATGCAGGGTAAGGCTGCATACAATAGACCCTTATGGTCCGGCCCTTCCCCGGACCCAACGCACAACGGGAGCTTAGTGCACCGGGCCGCCCCTTTTTATTATAATAGTTAAATCATCTAACTTGGTTCATTAACAGGAGGAAGGGGACGAGACATACATAGAGGTTTATGACAGTGATATCGATGTTGTCAATCGTAGTGATGATTCCGATGATACTCCACATCCAGAAACAGAGTTCCAACACCTTCATCAAAATGAATCACAAAGGGAGCTTGTTTGAGTAATACTGTTCTTGACCCTCCGAAGGCATGTTACAGTGATTAGTGCGAATGAGGGAGAAGAAGCTAGGATGCAGAATCTGATTGTTGATACTTTTAGCTCCAAAAGGAAAGGAGAGTCAATTTTATTGAACATCTCTGTACATATTTGTTAAGGAAATACAGCATTGTATACATTTTCCCATTCTTCTTTCTTATAATAGATAATTATGCTAGTATTAGTTTTATATTGCTAATGCTTTAGCTTTGGAAAAAGACTTCTTTTTTCTGAAAAGATCAATAGTTCTTGAGGGGTTTCAAGATTTACCTGTAAAACTCTGAAGGAATGTAAGCAAAACTTAGAAAAGAATCTTTTGCACCAAAAAAGAATTATAGTATTAGATTCAAAATTATTTCAATTGATTTATTAGTCTTCCAACAATGGATTACTTGTATATTAGCTACTGAGCATGGTTTATTTCCTAAACTACTGAAGCATCTGAAATTATGAGCATGGGTACCAATTGTCATCTATAAATGTCAAACTAATGTAAATACGGTAATTAAGTGATTTAATATGATAAAAATGTTTTAAATAAGCGTGTGATGGAAGTCCATATGCAAATAAATGTCATGCATTTATTAGGTGTAAACACTTTTGTTTTTAGAGTGCACATATAACCATTTTCAGGGATACTATTTAGAGATTAGTCGGTACTTATTTTGTTCTGAAATTTTAAACTGAAAATCTTAACTTAAGTACATTTCTGTCCTGAAAAACTGAACTAAAAAACTGAAATTCATGATATATTTGGCTAATTTATAAATAGCAACCCTTTAAAGTGGCTATCTGGTGTCTTTTCTACCAACTTTACCCGTATTGGCATGTCTATTAGGACCCAAGATTATTTTTGGACGGGTCGGATTAACCCATTAATCAACTCAATATTTGTCTAGACTTGACCCAACTCATATATTTGGCACTTTATGCGAGGTGTAATGTTTTTTAAAACTTTCTTCTCTTGCAAGTTACAGTAATTAATAAATCTGTACTATAAAACTACAAACGTAGAAAAAACGATTGAGTTATCTTAGTGGGAAATTTATTTCAAGCTTGCTGGCAGGTTAGGGTTTAGTTTTACCCTTATTCTTAACTCATCGCTAATATCTACATTTAAAGAAAAATAGATAAATTGTTTTATTTAATTTAGTTTTTTCAATTCTCAAGGAAGATAAGTGAAGCAATGTGTAAAATTATTGAAGAATTAGCAGGTAAAGCCTCTTTGTGCTAGTTTCCTCCTTTTTTAAAATAAAATTTTAAAAAAAATCTGCTTATTGGTAATATTTTGATATTTTGTTATATCAGTTGCAGGTGTCTTGTTTACTGGAGTTGCTGCTTTCATAAACAATTTTGAGTGAGTTCTTACATTTTGCTAATTATAATTAAAATGTTTTGGTAGTGCATATTTGAATCTACTTAGTTGGTTTCGAGTTAATTCAGTTCATTTTATTCCTTTTATTTTTGGTAGATAAGAAAACGGTAAAATTGTCTTCATGTGACCTATAGGTCACGGATTCGAGCCATAAAATCAGTCATGAATATATACAGTGCGGGCCTTGCCCGGATCAATGCATGAGCTTCGTGCACCGGGCTATTCTTTATTTAAGAAAATCAATCATAGAGCAATTTCAATTCACTTAGACATATTTTCTTTCAGATGGGGATCTTTTAAATTTGAATATAATATATGTCTCTTTCACACACAATTTTAACTAATTTTCGTTTTAAATTTAATTAACATGTTGACCTTATTTTGTTCTGATTAATTACAGTATGAGAAAGGCATATGATAAAACCATGGGAAGGGCTCATAGAGAGTATACCACGTAAGTTGGCATATAATATGTATAATTTAATTTTAATTTTACTTTCTTCTATTGTGGTTGTTTACAAAAAGTTTTTAAAAAAATCAATTCTATCAATTAAGCTATAATTTAATTAAAATATGTATGCAGGTGGATCAATGGTGAGGAAAAGACTAGAGGAACACTGGCCAAGGACTAATACTGATTACCTTAATTCTAAGTAAATTAACGGGTTATGATTTGTATGTCGTAATGAACAACATAAATAATTCTTCTTTTTTCTTATTTTCGTGAAAGATTTATATAATATCGATTTTAAATCTAGCTAGAGTTAAAGAATGCTGAAATTTGTTTATTTTGTATTTATTTTAAAATTCTTCACATATTTATGCTGTGACTCGGAAGCAATTGACCCTTTTATTTAAGTTACTAACATAATAAATAAATATAAAAGGGAATAATAAACGTAAGTCCACTTTGGTAGACAAGTTCCAACATAACTACTACTCCTACTAGTATTGACCATATTCCACCCACTTTAATATAAATTACTCCCATCGTACTTTATGATGCCTTTTCTAATACTAGTGCTATTATTTCGTATAACAATTAACAAATATATTGTTTGTTCTGCTGTTTTACAATTCATAACTTTCAACTTATTATGTAACTTCACTTATAAAATAAAGTATTTTAAAAAAAACTGGGAAAGACAAGTCTAACAATACCTCAAGTATTGTGTATATTTAAAAAAATAGTTCAGTGCAAAAAGTATTTTGCGTTCACGTAGTGTCTCGGAAAGAGCCGCACCTCAAGGAATCTGAACGTAGACGGTCTACCTTAATGCAAACATTGTGACTATTTTTACGGTTTGAACTCGTGACCTATAGGTCACACAGAGATAATTTTAATTTATCATTGCTCCAAGTGCTCTTTTCCTATATTTAAAACCATAGGAAAAATATATTGCTCGCTAGAACTTAAAGAGAAGTACTATGTGTATTATCTCTATATAGTATTAAAGTGTGTATTATCTCTAAATAGTATTAAAGTAATATGCAAAAGTTAACTTGCTAGGAGTTTAAATTCTACATTCTTGAAAGTACTATATATTTTATTTGTAAAGATGTGGCTATTAGTATTATAAAATAAACCAGTGTGCAAAAAAAAATACTAAATATTTTTTTTTCATCTATGCAAGCCTTGATATATAGAGTTATAGTTAAGATGTTGCTGGTGGGAGGTGACAAATATCTCATGAAATTAGTCAAGATGTTGTGGGTGGGAGGTGAGAGGTGACATGTATCTCATAGAATTAGTCGAGGTGAGCGTGTGTAACCACTGTTATAAAAATAGAAAGAACTATAAAATAAATCTTCCCACCAATAAACAAAAATATACAAGGAGCTAGAAGACTAGTTTTGACCAATTGAGGGAACTCTTCAAGTCAAAGTCCAAGGTACCATAACATTTGACCACATGTTAAATGTGAGTTTCATTTATTTTATGCTAAAATTCCTCCTCACCCTCTCAAACTCTGTCAAATATATAACCGTTAAACTAACTAAGTTTTAAAATCCCCGGCAAGCCATGGAAGAGTTCTTTCAAGTTCACACTTCACAAGCCAATAATGGAGAAATTTTATGGTTTGAAAATGAAGCTTTTTTGGTAAATCAAAGTGCTTTTGTGAGTTTTAGAAACAAACCCATTGAAGGATTTGGAGTTTCTGGCTATGGAAATGTATCGGCGAATCATCGGAACATGAACAAGAGGATGATGGAGTTCTTGAAAAAGAGTTGGATTCCTAAAGTTGGAGAAGTGAAAATGGAAAAAGAGAAAGTGCATAAACATATGATTAAAGAGAGGATTAGAAGAGAAAAGCAAAAGCAAAGTTATTTGGCTTTGCATAAATTGCTCCCTATGGGAACCAAGGTTAGTACATTTCCATACATATATGTCATGGTTTGAGCTGTGGAAACAGTAAGTAATGCTTGTATATCTTCATCGCATATTTGGGGTGCGGCTTTTTCTGGACTCTGCGTGAACACGTGATACTTTGTGCACCAAGTTGCCTTTTTAAATTTTAGTTCTATATTACATATATCTTGGTCCCAATATTTTTCTTCATTTTACTCGAGCATCCAATATCTAATACTCTCTACCAAAGAAAACTCCATTCCGGTGCTCAAACCGACGACCTCTGTATAGTTCTACTTAGTAATTTTCGCAAAAAAAATAAAGAAAGAAAAAATAGTCATATATTTTTACCACTCTTTTCATTGCAATTTGATCAAAAAATTTGTTTGAGGTCAAGTTGACAAGTTCCCAAGAGTTACATTGGACTAGATTAATTTTTTTTTTTACAAATAATTAGAATTTAGATATTCACAAACTAAATTATAACTGGTTCCTTTTCATTTAATGGAAAAATACATTTTAAAATATGATGAGCATGTTATGATTGCAGGGTGAGAAGAATGCTATAGTCCAAACAGCAGTAATGAGAATTCAAGAGCTGCAAAAATACAAGGAAAGTTTAAAGAAGAGAAATGATGAACTTCAGATGATTTTAGCAGAGGGTGAAAAGGAAGAATTTGAGAAGGCTAAAATCAAAGTAAAAGTTAATTATCCAATTTCTGGGGTAGATTCAATGCTAGAGGTTCTCAAGTGTTTGAAGAATTGTGGAACCAAAGCAAATGCCATGCAATCAAGTTTTTCTCAGCAAGAATTCTCCTCCATGCTAGAAATAGAAACTAAGGTAATTAGTGTACTTTTCTCCTTGTCACATGGAAGTATTGTTGTGTGTTAAGACCATTAATTTGAGTTATAGCTTAATAGATAAGTGTTTATCTTACATATTAGAGGAATAACGTTTGATTCTTGTCAAGTCTTATTGCAAATAACTTTTTAGTTGGAAGACATTGGCCCTTTTAGTGGAACTACATGGCTAGAATTCGAATTAATCTGATCAGTAAATTTTGGATAACAAATATTTAAAGGAAAAAATAACACCGACATAACTCAGTAGTTTTGGTCTTTTAAGACATCCACTTAATATGTATTAATAATTATCCAGAATCTAGTAAGTTATTTTTTCTAGAATTTAGAACTCATAAACTTAAAATTCTGACTCCGCCCCTGATGATATTCTCCTACTACGCTGGGGCTAGTTCCACCCACCCGCCAAAAAAGAAAAGAAGTTAGCTCTTGTTTCTTTTCCATATCTTTTTAAATGTTGGCTAAGATGTCTCTTTCATTGATTTAATCATGTGACTAATTATGGTCAATTTGTGATAGATTGGAGCAGCAGAGGTGGAAAAAACAGTGCAAAATACTCTATTTGAAACTGAAAGGAACTTTCGCGCACACCAGTTGCCAATGACTTGGTAACTTCAGCCACAGATTGATGCAACTTGTGATGTGAAAGAAAATTTTGATGTCTAAGGTTGACTAGTTCATATATATATATATACAAACAAAAACTTGTGATCTGGAAAAAGCACCTTCGTCTCTTCTTCCTTTCTTTTACCTTTCAATCTTCTTGTCTATTGTATATCAATTCATTGATTACAGACTTTAACAGAGAAAGTTAGAGATATTTGTAACTATAAAAATTTCTCATTAAGGATAACATATATACAGTCAGACCTCGCTATATAACAACAATTCAATATGTTATAATATATGTTCTTTATAACATCATTTTGTTATAACAACCAAAATATCCAGAACAAACGATGTTGTTATAGAGAGATCTGTATAAGATAAAGCAGAACTCTGAGAAATAAATAAATCAAAGAGCTAAACTTCCATTTCTAATTCCAGTCATATTAAGCCTTGTTACTAATATTCGTCGAGTAGACCATCTAGCAATTTATTCAGTACCACAAGTGCAACTTTGCAAATGAATTGGGAAAGATTCTTCTCTTTTTCTTTCCTTTCCTTTTCTTTTGTTTGATCTTCCTCGTCAAGCCATTCTAGGTTAAATAAACTGCTGAAATATTAGCAGCAATAAATCAAGCCTCGAGCATCATAATAGAGTATTCTGTCACTCATAAGCTGCAAGGAGATTTGGATTTAACATCAAGATAGACATATTTACAGCACTCAATGCACATATTTCGGTTACTTCGACTATATTATCACATATTTACAGCACTCAATGCACATATTTCGGTTACTTCGACTATATTATCACATATTTACAGCACTCAACTGCACATATTTCAGTTACTTCGACTATATTACTTGTCCAAATTTCAGGGACATCATTGGGATGGGCTCATACTCCTCAAATGAAGCAGTCGAGGTTGCAAGTCAAATATGAAGATATTCATGACAAAAATGCCGAATCCATTTTGATGTTTCAGGAAAACACTAGTCTTACAAACTAAACAGTAACACTTGGTCTCACATCAAAATTGTTGTAAGAAATAGCTCAGCCAAGGCTAGAACAGAGGCAAAAGTAGACATTGGCGCCCAAATCACTTGAGTTGTATGAACCTTGACAAATGAGTAGCACCAATACCAGATTTACCGAGCTTGACAGGATTATATGAGATAGAGAACTCAGCCAAGATCACTTGAGTGGTATAAACCTTGACGAGTGAGTAGCACCAATACCAGGTCTACCGTGCTTGACAGGCTTATATGAGATAGAAAACTCGGCCAGATAGTGGCCAATCATTTCAGGCTTGACTTCAATCTGATTGAAAGTCTTTCCATTATAAATTCCAATAACACTTCCAATCATTTCAGGAACGATAATCATGTTCCTCAGGTGAGTCTTGACAGGCTCTGGCTTTTCACCTGGTGGAGCCTCAAGTTTCTGCATAAAGATGCTGCTATGAGTAGGTGCAGGTGAAAGAATAAAGGCAATAAGAATACCTGCTGAGAGGAAACAAAGGCATCAACAAAAAGGTTGGCTCCAAGTTACATTTCAAGTAACTTGGAGCAGCATACTAGACACTGAATCCTCTAAAACCTACTAATACACGCTATCACTCATGGGTAATGAGTGTGCACACCTTAGTGCTTTGCCTACACTACTTAAGCGCAGCTTAAGCGAGGCCTTAAATGGCAATCATCAAAAAACACAGTACAACATTGGATATAAAAGCTCATGTTTGCCCACAACAAGACAATCTTTGTCTACATAAGCAATCAATCATAACACTAACAAACGTAGGTCAGGTTTTCAATAAAAAGATTGTTGGCTGCCTTTCATCCTAGTCACGTTATGCTCAACTCAGTTAACAGTCAACAGAGTTCAGAGCTAAGTTAGCTATTCCACTAATAAAGTCGGGCGATTGAAGTTAATATCGCACACCTACAATGCCTCAAATCCTAAACTTGAAACAAGAGATGAGATGAAGAATAATAAGATATTTTAACGCTTTAACCAGTAAGGCTGATGAAGATCTAAACTAAATTGTTTAGTAAATTCAACATTGTATCATTTCACCTTGAGTAAAGCATTCATCATACACTTAGAAGACCAAAATGTGAAATTTAACTTTCATTAACTACGCAGCTCAAACTTGGTGCTATAGGGGTCTTTGGGATGGGTACCAAAATTGATAAAATCAAATAACATGTAAACGGGCAAGATTGGAACAAGAACTAAAAAAACGCATGAATCATCTTACAATATATAAGCAAAAACCTTATCTTCACAACCTATGATATTCATATAGGGTGTCAGTGTGCAGTGTGTCACTCAAGTGGTATAAAATATACCAACCCTCTGACAGATCAACCAAAGTACGCAATGTGTCGTGACCATTGTCAATTTGCTATAATGACCACAAATAGACTGTTCAGCATTGTAAAAGATGCCTCTCATAAAATACAAGTCATATAGCAAATGTTACAGAATCAATAGCGACCACAAGGCAAATAGAATATGGTTAACAGACTGATGCATCCATCACTTGAAAAACTGATGATGCTTTTTTATTAAAAAGAGCCAATGATAGCAAGGGGATAAAAAATGTAAAAGCAGAAAAATTGCATACCGCCTTTCGCAGCTTCTTGATCAGTGCCATCGGCTTCCTCTTCAAACCTCTCTGAAACCTGCAATAAATCAGCTGTAGCAAATCAGATCAGAAGTTCTAACAAAAACTGTCACAGATCCAACAGAGATATGTTCAGCAATGATATACAATTGTTTAACATGTATCAATGCAATTTTATGTCTAAGGACGAATTACTGTATGATCCAACCAAAGGTAATTAACTAAGTGTAAGTAGCGTGCTAAGTACTGCATTAAAATATAGCTTCAATCCATAAACCATTAAAATATAGCTTCAATCCATAAACCATACTGTACTCTCTTAGTCTCTTTATCCCATTTATATAACACCTTTACATTTCAAGATTCAATAAATTATTCCTTAAACCACGATTTTCTCAAACGTTTATGAAAGACTTTAAATTGCAAGGAAAAGCATTTTGTAATACCTTTTATCTAGTTTCCTAAATGTTTTTTTGGTCAAGTACTCTTTATAACTAAACTGAAAATTATTACTAGCTTAAAACGTCAATGATAAATCCATTAAACAAATAAACTCACTATCTTTAAATATTCTTAACATTTTTAAAATGCTATTAATTGTATAAATAACATTTTATAGTACTTTACTTTCATATAATAATCGAACTGTAAATCAAACACAGATTTGACATGTAGTATTTATAAATAAAACGAAAATTATAAAGGAAGATGAAATGAATTGATTAAAGAAAAAAATGGCAGAAAAAAAAACCTTCTACGAGGACGAGCATTGAAGAGCTTAACGAGCTCATCAGTGGACATATCGAGAAGAGCATCGAGATCCACGCCTCTGTAGCTAAACTTCTTAAACGTTCTCTTCTTTGGTTGTCCACTCGTCACATCGGCTTCAACGTCCGCCTGTTGAAACACAACACAACAAAAAACAAAGCAAAATTGAGAGGAAAGGAAAGGAAAACATCATAATAGGCATTGAGATAGCGAAATATGTAAAATTTTGAGGCGGCGGAGATCGTTACCATGGTTGTAGAGATGGAAATCAGCGACTTTCGTGGGCGGCGGAGATGGGGTCTGTAGGGGAATAGGGTTTTTTTGTGGGAGTAGGAAGAAGATTTGAACTAGGTTTATGGGTTTTGTGCTAAATGGTCTGTTTGATGGGTCTGGGCCTGAGACACTCGTCCAACATCAATGGCGCAAGTGCACGTATACCCAATTCTTAGTAATGCTATTAAGAGATTAGTCGATATTTATTTTATGCAGAAATTATGTAGAAATGACATCAGTTAGCCACTCTAAAGGATAATTATTTAAGAATTAGCTAATACAACAACAACAACAATCCAGTATAATCTCACTAGTAGGGTCTGGGAGGGTAGTGTGTATGCAGACCTTACCCCTACCATGAGATAGAGAGACTGTTTCCAATAGAAACTCGGCATCCTTCCCTCCAAGAACTCCCCACCTTACTCTTGGGGTGACTCGAACTAACAACCTCTTAGTTGGAAGTGGAGGTTGCTTACCATCAGAGCAACCTCTCTTGTCAACTAAGAATTAGCTAATGCATCATGAATTTCAGTTTTTCAGTATAAATTTTCAAGACAAAAATGTCCTGAGTTGTCCTGAAATTAAGATTTTTAGATTAAAACTTCATGACAGAGTAAGTATTGGATAATCTCTAAATAGCATCCCTGAGAATGGCTATTTGTGTATGACACCAGGTAACCACTCTAAAGGATAGTTATTTAAGAATTAGTCAATGCGTCCTGAATTTTAATTTTTCAGTTCAAATTTTGAGGACAAAAATATTATGAGTTGTCCTCAAGTTAAGATTTTTAGTTTAAAATTTTAGAATAAAATAAGTACTGGCTAATCTCTAAATAACATCCCCGAGTGGCTATTTGTGCACTTGCCCCTTATTTTGTCCTGAAATTTAAACTAAAATTTTAATTTCAGGACAACTCAGGATATTTTTATCCAGAAAAATTAAACTGAAACTCATGACGCATTGGTTAATTCCTAAATAGCACCCATTTAGAGTAGCTACCCCGTGTTATTTCTACAACAAATCAATGGAAAAAGATTGTGGAATCTTTACACAAATAGTCTACCGAATTTATAGTTTTATTTTTTCTAGCCATATATTGATTTTACGCGATTATATACATATAGTTAGACTTCTTTATAGTAATAACTATCATGTAAAACAACATTCACTTTAACGATTAAGATTTCTTGGGAATCGTTTTTCATGTTATGTTATATTTTATGTTCTCTATAATAGCAGTTTGCTACAACACTCAAAAAAAATTCGGACAAATGAGTTCATTATAGAGATGTACGATTGTATTATGCATAGATTAAAAAGTTGATTCAAAATTTGAACCTAATGGCTTCCTAGCGATCTCTAATTAATATACAATAATAACAACGTAAAAGAACATAAATGATTTGGACAAAAGTGATACTTTCAGCTAGTAAATTTTATTTGGCTGGTATGTATATAAAAGGAAAAGGAAACAAAAGAGTGTCTGCTGGTGTTGTTTTGAGGGGGAAAACAAAAGTGAAGTTAAAAAGTGCACAATGAGATTCCAACCCTCTTAATTATACAGGAACATAGCTTACTGGATTTTAGTTTTTCCTTTGCCACTTAACCAACAATTGATTTTAGTTTTCAATACTAATATATGGTCGGAGTAATAAATATATTAAGTTTTAGAAAAATTACTATTTTTAGTAAGTTGTGAACGATTATTTAGATTAATTCTTAAAATATTGCTACTTGACGCCCAATTGAAATCAAGTCAGTATTACTATACCTAAAGTTTATACGTTAAGAGGTTTTGCAGGAGATTTACAAAGAGCATTTTCAGATTTTCCAAATCTCTTTTCTAATCAAATACCATATGACCAATTTTTTCATTTTTGTAAAGCACCTTCGTCAACCGCATTTTGCACGTAATTACACTTTTAATGGAGTTTTTTTAGAAGGTTTCAATGATTAAACTTTTATTGATTAACATGTCATACAAACAATCCTATTGAAATGTCAATCCAAAATTCATTTACCAATTGGGTATTCATTTTATTTTTCTGATATTAAATTAAAGTTCCGTATAATTGATTAATTAAGTGAAGTAGTAACAGTTGAAGTAACAATATTAAAAAAGAGTTTTGTCTCACTAAAAAAGAAAAATACGAACATTGTTCTTCATATCTTAAAAAAAACATATTTGTTACTATTCAAACTTATATGACAATGAGCACAAGTCATACTCCTAAAACAAACCCTAACACAAGATAACAATCCTAAAAAACAACACCAAAAAAATTAAAATTGATAACACGAGATAAAAAAAAAAATGTACAGTGAGTCAACACCCATTTAACCTAAAATGACTAAAATACCCCTAACACCTTTCATTTCTTTGCTTTCTTAGCCGGTGACTTAATACTCTTCGGCTTCTTCACAACCTTCTTCGCCGGAGTTTTCTTCACTTTAGCAACCGCCGGTTTCTTCACCGGAGTTTTCTTCACTTTAGCAACCGCCGGTTTCTTCACCGGAGTTTTCTTCACTCTAGCAACCGCCGGTTTCTTCACCGGAGTTTTCTTCAGTTTCGCCGGAACAACAACAACCGTCTTCTTAGCTTTCTTCGCCGGCGCTGCTGCTTTGGCCTTCTTCACCACAACCTTCTTCGGAGCCACAGCTTTAGTCTTCGCAGCTCCGGCAGCGACGGCGGTCTTCTTTGGTTTCGCCGGAGCAGCTGGCTTAGCGGCGGCTGGGGCCAGCTTGAAAGAGCCCTTGATTTTTGTGAGTTTGCCGGAAGCAACAAGCTTCTTCAACTGAACTAAAAGCAATTTCCTGAAATTGGAAGGCAAATCCTTTTGCTTTTCCTCAATGAATTTCGCTATCGCCACTTGACTTGAACCAGTTCTCTCCTTTAACGCCACTATCGCTTCTGATATCATCTGTAAATTAAAAAACAGATTTAATTAACTGTTTAATTACAGTTCTCCTATATAAAAAAAAAAAAAAAAAAAAAAAAAAAAAAAAAAAAAAAAAAAAAAAAAAAAAAAAAAAAAAAACCGGTTATAAAATTACCTCAGCATAAGGTGGATGAGATCTGGGTTTCTTTGGGGCAGAAGTTTTCTTTGCAGCTGTAGACGCCATTGTAGTCTGTAGAACAAACAGAGTTTAATTTACGAAAATTGAATGCTATGTGCTAATTGCAACGAGAGAATGATGAATTTTGCTGAAAACATCGAATGCAATATAAAGGAAAATGGAGAGATCTTATTGGTTTAAAAAAGAATGACGCGGATCGATATATGAATGAGGAAATATGAGCGGTTGGATTATTAAATTAATCAACGGTTGAGATGAGCTCTGAGGTCTGTCACGCGGATCGAAAGAAATTTGCCTCTTTTTGTTTTTTTACTTTTTATCCCCACGAAAGAAGTAGGAGGTTTTGGTGTGTTGTTTGAAAAGGAATTGGAGGTTAAATATTTTGAATTATTGTTTTTTTATTTTGATGAGGTTTGAATCTTTATTTTAAAAAAAGGACTTAATTTACGTTTCTGTCAATTATTTATACTAGTCTTAGGCCCCGTTTGTCCATAAAAGAATTTTTTTTTAAAACAAATTCCAAAAATATATTTATCCATAAAAAATTAGAAGTTTTTGAAAAATTTTCGAAAATTATTTTCAGAATTTTCATAAAACTGCAACATTTTTTCAAGTGAAATGCATGTTCAACCATAATTTAAAATTTCAAATACTATTTTTTAAAAAAAATATATATAATTTTTATGTCCAAACGCCTACTTAGTGTACCCACTTTGTGCGTGTTCCTGATATTAATAAGAATAAGCTTTTATAACTAACATAAATATGATTCAAAAGATGTGTTTGTACTATAATATTAAAATTAAAAACATTACAACTTTCAAAATGATAAATATTAATTATGTTTAGGAGTTTGATCTACTCTAGTGATTCTTCCTTCAATTTATTATAGTACTTGTTTCATTATACAATAGTGTTAATAGAATGCGTTTGATTAGAAGGTTAAAAAACCATTCAACATTACATGAATACTTGGGTATGTGTATTGCGTGTATATTCCATGTTACTTATTATAAATTTTGGGTCTAATGTTTTTTCAACAATTGAAAATTATTTAATCATATTGTCAAGATCCAAAACCAACTTATCGTGATGACGCATATCATAGTATTAGGCAAGCCAACTAATCAGACATTTCCAACACTTTAAAGCTTTGAAACATATTAAAACAGTTTAATTTAAAGAAAATCTTTTAAAACAAGATAGGGAGTCATCTCAATACATAATCTCTCCCAAAATTGGAGTGTCACCGAGTACATGAGCATCTACATAAAGATATAGTCTGGTACACCATCTAGAGATCTAAACAGAAACATAAAATGAAAGATTAGGGAGGAGATATGAGGAATACGACATCTCTATCTACATGCCAATGTACATGTTGTATGAAATGTACCACACTAGAAGCCTCGTGTACTCACACTCTCAGAATACTCAATCACTCAGTATTGTATGGCCAATCCAGCCCACGGAAGATCTATCATAGACCAACCTGCTATAGTAATTTCATAAATACCTAGCGAAAATATGGCAAACAAATAAAGTAACCCTATATTCGGATATATATATATATACATATATATANAATACATCCCTAAATATAAATGATTCGGGCATGATCCATGCCGAGGGAAGATCCGTCCCTTAATATAAATCAACTGCGCTCACGGTGGGTGTGCAGACTCCGGATGGGCTCCTTCAGCCCAAGCGCTATAATAAGCCACATCCAGGCATAATAAATAAAATATAATGCGGTGTACAGTCTGATCCCATAATGTCACTCACAAGCAGGCCCTCTGCCTCACTCAATCATCAATCTCTCTAGTCTATCGGGTTCGCAGTACTCATACTAAGCAACCCTAATCAATGATACGAGATGTGACAATGTGCAATAACAAAGACTGATTTCTAGCATAATATACCTAAACATGATTTTTAGCATAAATTATAGCTCAAATGCTCTAACACATGGAGTATGATAAAAACATACAGTTAAGGCAGCTACAAAATTCCATGAATTCGACTAATTCACAGTTTATACGGTGCACGCCAATATGTATATCACCTAGCACGTGCGTCACCTCAATCTCAATCGCATAATACGTAAATTCGATGTTTCGTACCCTCAAAACCAAGTTTAGAAGTGTTACTTACCTCAGACCGTACAAATATCTACTCCAACATGCCCCTTGCCTCGTGAAACGGTCTCTGAATGCCTCGAATCTATCCACAAACAAATCCGATACCAAAATCTAGCCTCGAATCAATTTCATAAGAAAATACTAAGCTCTTAATCAAAAGTCAAAAGGTCAACTCAAAAGTCGGCCCCCAGACCCACGTCTCAGAATTGGGTAAAAGTCATAAAATCCGAACACGCATTCAACCACAAGTCCAACCATACATTTTGAAAACACGAGACTCCCATCGCGAACACGAAGGAGGAAACCAAAACTGGACACCAGAAATTCTTCAGCAGTATTCCAAGTCCAAAATGGATCTGTTAACCATCTGAAACTCACTCGAGGCGAGGCCTCCGGGACCTCAACCAAACATACCATAAAGTCCTAAAATACGATAAGAACTTAGTCGAACCCCCAAATCACCTAAAACAACATCAAAAATATGAATCGCACCCCAATTCAAGCCTATTGAAACTAAGGAAATTCCAACTTCTACAAACGACGCTGAAACCTATCCAATCAAGTACGATCGACCCCAAATTTTGCACACAAGTCACAAATGATACCACTGACCTACTTCAACTCCCGGAACTCCAATCCGAGCCTTGTAACCACAAAGTCCACTCTAGGTCAAACTTTCAAATTTCCAACTTTCGCTATTTCAAGCCTAATTCAACTATAGATCTCCAAATCACAATCCGGACACGCTCCTAAGTCCAAAATCACCCAACGGAGTTAACAGAACCATCAAAATTCCATTATGGAGTCGTTTACACATAAGTTAACACTGGGTCAATATTTTCAACTTAAGCTTCCAACTTTGAGACTAAGTGTCTCAATTCATTCCGAAATCTCTCCGGACCTGAACCGACTATCCCGACAAGTCACATAACAACTATAAAAGCACAAAATAAGCAGTAAATTGGGGGACGGGGCTACAATTCTCAAAACGATCGGGCGAGTCGTTACACATATTTTACTCAATTTTATGAGTACTTAAACGTGTATGCTAAAACTTGTACACTTATCCTATTAATACTTTAGTGGTCACATGTATCAAAACTAGAGAATTATTAATAGTCTTTATAAATATTTAGCTTGATTGTTATCTTATTTTATTTATGATTTCTTTCTAAAATACTTTATTTACATGCGATCAATTACATAAATACATCATTTTTCTATTTCTATCCCTACAAAATATTGATCAACCTTTTTACTCTTTTAAAATTAATTTCACGTTAAGAATTTGTCATTTAATTATTTTCTAATTTTTATGACCTTAAAATTAATTCCATTAGGCAATAATAATGGACAAAGAATTTGAGTGTACTTTCAATTCTAAGTGAATCAAATTGCTCTTTGAACTTCTAAAATCACGCCCACCTCTTACTTTTGTATGAATTATTATTAATGCTTCCCTGCCTTTTTATCAGAATCATATTTTACCAGGAATAAAAGTTGCAGGATCTACTAACCACCCCGGTTTCATTAAAAGAGCACGTTAATTTACTCTTTTTCAGATATATATATCCATGAACAGTAAGATAAAAAGAATCATAATTACTCCATGTTATATATATAATTCAAGTAAGGTAAGAATTTTATAAGGTAAATCACAATTACCCTAAAATTTAAGATACTTAGTTTAAATAAGGAAAGATTTAATAATTAAAATTATCGTCAATTCAAAGTCTTCTATATTGAGGAAATAATTGAATGACCATTTTATCAAATATGAAGTTATTTTTCAAACGGTAAAAAGACGAACGATATTTAGCTAAGGTACTTTATGATTTAGCAAACTTTGTGGTTAAGTCAAATGGCAAACTACTATAAAGCCACTTGGCATTTTAGGAAAATATTTATAATAATACCTAATTTAAATTGGAAGATAAGCTTTTTTTTAATTTAAATGGAAAGATAGTAAAAAAGATTCTTCTGGATCTAAATGGAAAGAGTGAGTATTTTTGGCTGAGTTTGCTTACAACAACAATTATCAGTCTAGCATCGAGATGGCTCCATTTGAGGCTTTATATGGTCGGCGATGTCATTCTCCCATCTGATGGTTTGAGCCCGACGAGGCTAAGTTATATGGTACTGATTTAGTGAAGGATGCCTTGAAAAAGGTAAAGTTGTTTCAAGAGCGACTTCGCACATCACAATTCAGACAGAAGAATTACGCGGATCAAAAGGCGCGTGATTTATCATTTATGGTGGGCGAGCAGGTCCTCTTGAAAGTCTCGCCGATAAAGGAAATCATGAGATTCGGGAAGAATGGCAAGTTTGGCCCAAGGTTTATAGGTCTATTTGAGGTGTTTAGACGAGTTGGGGAGGTTGCTTATGAGCTTACTTTGCCTCCCAGTCTATCGGGAGTCCATCCGATCTTCCACGTGTCTATGCTCCGGAAGTATCATGCCGACATGTCGCATGTGTTAGACTACATCACAGTCAGTTAGATGAGAGCCCGAGTTATAGGGAGGAGCCAGTTGCCATTGTTGACAGGCAGGTTCGCCAGTTGAGGTCCAAGAAGATTTGTGCAATAAAGGTTCAATGGATAGGTCAACCAGTTGAGGAGGCGACTTGGGAGATCGAGGAGTACATGCGAAGCAGATATCCACACTTATTCGGCACTCCATGTACGAATATAGACCCGTTCGAGGACGAACGTTTGTTTAAGAGGTGAGAAATGCAATGATCCGACTGGTCGTTTTGCTTTCTAGATCCATGTTCCCCTGAATAACACTCATTGTATTTGACTTTACTATTTTATGACTTGCGGGGATGGTTAGTTCGGGTTTGGAAGGATTCAGGTTGAAATCGAAACACTTAGTTCTTTAATATTGGCTTAAAAAGGGTTAAGTTTGACTTGGGTCAAAATTTCTAGTAAACGACCTCGAAACCGAGATTTGGCAGCCTCAATAGGTTCGTATGATGATTTTGGATTT